CGGCTCGCGGTACAGCGGCGCCGACCGCAGAAGGTAGGTTAGCCGGGGGGCTGCCGTGTAGTGTGTCAAAAGGAAAAGACCGGTGTGAGCGTCGAGATGGCTGATGCGGGCGCACATCCGGTCTATGACAGCTGCAGTCTTGGTGGTAGCGGTGGGCAGCGCAGCATCGGTCAATGGAGATCCCAGGAGAGAGAGATCCCTAGCTGGAGTCTCCTTCAGCCCTGGGAGTGTGGCACGTAGTGATTCCGAGAGTGATGATGGCGGCGCTGGACCGGCAAATGTGACCTCACACTTGCTGGCGTTCAGCTGCAGGCCAATGGTTGGCAGAGCTGTCGCCAGGACTGCTAGGTCAGCGGTGACGAGGTCGGCCGGACCTCCGATGGTTCCGTCATCGAGGTACCACACGTTTAGTGGTGACCTCATTCTTCTGATGATGGGGTCTAGTGCCAGCGCGAAAGCCGCCGGGCCGAGTGGATCGCCCTGTTGCACGCCACTGCACGAGGAAATGGTTTGGTCACCGATGCAGAGGGGAGTGGGCTCACTGTATGCGCACCACAGGAGAGGATATGCCATGGGCACACGCGTCTTCACTTGCTCCAAAAAGGTGTCGCGTCTCACGGTGTTGAAGGCGTTTCGGACGTCCACCTTCACCAGCACGTAGGGAGCGTGGGCTTCTGCGGCTGCCGTCAGAAATTCTCGCGTGGCGTGCACGGCAGCCTCACAACCCTGAGGTGTGCCGACTCCGAGCTGCACGGGACGTAGCTCCTCTCCCACTGCAGCAGCGACTTGACGTGCGGCGATGCGGCCGGCAAGGCGGCGGTAAATGCTCCCCACTGCGATCGGCCGCAGTCCGCCGTCACTCTTCCGAATCGCGCATAGAGACGCGCCGAACAGCGCTTGCCGTGCACAATCCGGTACTGCCCCTTGTAGGAATAGGTTGGTGAGACGGACAAGACAGCGAATGAGACGGCGTCCGCTCTCGGCGGCCTCCTTCGAGATCAACTGCTGCAAATGTAGGGCACGAATGCCGTCTAGACCGGCTGTTGATCCTGGCCGCATGCTGGTGATGGCCGCCTCAACGTCGGCTTCGGAGACGATGATCGGGGCAGGGTCAGTGTTTGAAGGTGGTGGTGGTGGTATCAGGTCGTCTGGAGCCGGTGGGTGTTTCGCTCGTAGTGAGGTCACAATTTCCTGATCCAGTGACACCAACTTTTCGTCAGTGGTCAATGTTTGTAGCGCCGCCCTGATGTCGCCATCTGCCAGCTTGCCTGCAATTCGGCGGGCCAGCGCTTCATCTCTGGTGGCTTCAGTTGCAGAGCCAGCTCGTGGCATCCGTCCCCGGTGGTTGGTAGTGTCGGTTGCTTTGTCCGTCGCAGTCGCCGGCGTCTCGCCGGAGATCTGACGCCGGATACTGGTCGCCGCTGTGCAGTTGCTACCGGGGGCCGGGGCTTGCAGCTTGCGGTGTGCAAAGGACAACAGTTCCCACCACCGGTCACCCGAGTCGGACTGTATGGCTCCGTCCATCGTCTCAGCCAGGGCGTCAGCAACCAGTGGTCGGATAGCCTTGGGCAGCCGGGACACAATGCGTCCCTTTCTTCTCATCTTGGCGAGGGTCTCCGGGAAATTGCCTGCTGCTGGATTTGCTGGCGAGGAGCTCGGTTGTGTAAGGGGTCCGTGGCCTAAGCAGTCCCGACAGTGCCAGACGCCCCCTTCGGCCTGGAGCTCACGTGCCTTCTTGGCCGGCACCCTTACACAGAGCGCGTGCCAGCGACGTTTACAGGAGCCGCAAGTAATGGTCGTCCTTTGAGTGCTGCGGCTGGGACAGCCTTCACAGACCTTCTCTTCCATACCTATTCTTTGGCACTTTTTTATCTGCTTATCATACCTTGTTTTGAAATGCAGCAGCAGACCTTCAAAAACGCTCCTGCATATTGTTAAAAATCTTGAAAATGAGGCATCGTCAAATCCTATTGTTCAGCGCAAAACCTCCGGTATGCGACGTTCTTGGGGAATAACGTCACGTTCTTGTTTGCAATAAAATTATGCATCCTTTCCTTGGGCGCCCTAATGTTCGGCAAAAATACACAAAATAGCCAAATTTCAAACAAATGAATCACTCCAGGGTCTTACCTACAGGGGTTCAAGTTTCGGCCCCTGGGAGAAAATGCATCAAAAATCATGTTGCAAAAACTGTAGCCAATGAACTTCATCTTCATTCTTGAATGACAGCGATGCAAACCCGCGCCAAGGACCGTCTCAACTCATCACAATTGTCGAAGAATAGAAGTTTGAAGCTTGTGAGTTACTATAAATGTTTTATGGGAAGCATCGGCCGGCTAATGAGCCCAAACACCAAAGGAAAACTATGAGTGGAACAAGTTGGGCAAAAAACCGTGAAACATCAATGATAAAGACGGACCGAGTAAGGAGATGTTTCCTCACCGATGACGTCACGGGACAACTTATAATAAATTATAAGTTGTCATCATCGCTGTGTCATGCCTTATGTGTCTTAAAGCGCCGGAACGGCGCCCCGTATCGACGTGAAATTTACTGGGCACACACTTTGGGTGGGGCGGACCATCGTATCAAAAGATGGGCGCAATCGGACCACGGGTGCGGCGTCAGCGCGTGCATCTCTGCCCCAGGCTGGCCGAGGCCGGCGCCGAGCAGAGAGCACGCGCTCTAAGCTCATTTTCTTCGCTTGCCAAACTGAGTGAAAACGATGAGAGCCAGCTCGGGAAGTCAACTCTGTGGATTTCAAGAATACAGGTTTTCGATTAGCATCAGGTATAGGCGCAGGTACAAGTATTAGGTTCAGGTTTCACCAGTAAATAAAATAAATTTATTACCGAGCAAGCGAAGCGAGCAAAGTGCGAGCGAAGCGAGCAAACTTTCGGATCTGCAGCGCTCCTCGAAAAGCGCATATACCTACATGCCTACCATACAGCTAAATGAATTAAGTAAACAAACCTAACCCTACTGGCATAAACATACAAGCTTTAACAACCAAACTAATAATTTAAATAAAATAATAAAACTAATAATGATTTATAAGATGTCTGTGCGTGTGTCATGCCTTATGTGTCTTATTGCGCCTGAAAGGCGCCGCGTATCGACGTGAAATTTGGCATGCCGAGTCGGTGGGTTGAGGTGACCTCTGTATTAAAATTTGGGGGCGATCGAGCCAGGGGTGCGCCGTCAGCACGTGCAAATAGGCGCTCTCATAGGCTTAACACGTGGTCGGCGAGACCGGCGATCGGCCGAAAATCGGGCCGACACGGTTAGCTTTCCCGCTTGATATCTCGGCAATGGGTGGTCGGAGCGAGAAGCGGTTGTCACCACTGGATAGAGGAGAGATGGAACTAGCGTACTGATATGGTTTCATAGCATAGTTATGATATGGTTTCATAGCATAGTTTTCATAGCATAGCTAAATTAAATGTAATAATTTTATAGATGGTCTTGGTAATGCTCTCCGCCTGGTCCTCTCTCGGCATACAAATAATAAGGACGTAAAAAGACAAAAGAAATAAATGCGACCAGCTACGTGGTTTTGTAACATGTATAACTGCTATTTTGAGGCATTCAAAAACCAAGACAGAAAAATTGATTGTAAAATTATTATTGCGTCATCAATGACAGCTTTCCTTCGCCTCAGAGACCAAAATTGACGCAGTCAAATACCAATCCTTGTCATAATGTCGGAAGTGCGCCAGTATTGTATTGCGCTGTGTTTGGGCCGCATGCCAGTCAATATTTTGATTTTTTTTGTAACAGTAAGGGTAATTGGTGTGCTATTTTCGTAATATAGGGTGGGACAGAACATAGAGTAGGATAGGTAATCAATAAATTTGCATCAAATTTTGTTTAGCTGATAGGTCTTTTTTATGCCGACCAGACGTAAATAAAGTAACATGTGATATTTGCTCTGATTTTCAACATCTCATTTAAGTCTGGGTTCTTCCATAATGTATATCTAGTGCACACTGCACATGGACTTCAGTTCAGCTTCCTTTAAGTTTGCTTTCAGGTTCTTTTATGTTTTATGGAATGCTTTCATCAGCATTCCATAAAACGATGGCTATGTTCTTTCAGGTTCTTATTTATGCTTTGTAGTTTGTTGCTTGTACCCTGGTTTGGTCATTCCTAGACTGTGGATGCTATTGCTGGTTGTTTTCAGTTTTGCATTTGAAATGTGCTGCCATGATATATTTTTATATTTGGTTCTGTTTTAAAAGTTGTTTCGATCAATATTGTATTGTTAACCTGAGCAAATGCACTTGGCATTGTGTTTTGCATCTAAAAAAAAAAATAAAAAAAAATTTAAAGGTTCTTAAGTCTGACCACCAAATACCCGCAACACGACAAGTTTTGCTTCTCGAACCCGCCAAAAACCCTGCGGGTTTTGAAAACCCGCAGAAAGCGGGTTCGCGGGCTCAAAAGTGGCATCTCTAGTACGGACTCGAAAGTACTGTCAACTCGGACTTGTGTGAAGTGTACATAAATGTTTGATCTTACTTTGCCTTTGGCCAGTTGTCTGAACTATATGTAAATCACAGTATTGATGTTTCGAGATGTCACAGGCAGCTACAAGGCGAATTTCGTTGCGACATTGTCTACGATATAATGAAACAATATCCGATTCTTCTGCATTATTGATGTAGCAACGAAACTTATTTGAAAAACACATTCATGTAAGTACGATGAGCATTACCGGCTGGCCATTGCAAAACTCTATACGGCCACCGATGTTCCCTTACCTACCTCAAATATCCCGCCCTCATAAAGCCCCCCCCCCTCCCTTGGCCTTCCATTCCGATGAGACGGCACTGTGGGACGACTCTGAGTCTGTCCATATTCAGCAAGGACCAATATATTCGGTAGCCACTACAGCGATAAGATGCATAAGGTAGCTCCGCCCTCATCCTCAGCAGAACGCTGCCGTTCGTGCCTCCTACAGACAAGCGGTGCGCCTTGCAGAGGACCACCAAACAATCTAACGAAATTAAATGTATTGATATACAAACACACATTGTTTCAAAATTATTGAGAACGTTATCTCGAACAGTATAATCGAAATGCCGTCTTCTGAACGTTTTAAATTCTACGAGGTAGAAAACAAAACGAAACTAGAAAAAATGTTTGGTCTTGCCAGCCCACGCTTGCTTCGATCTCGTAACTTTTATACTTTTCTTACTACACGTTCCATCCGGTAAAAATGAATAACATGTCAGCAGTGATTATATGATCATTAAAAACAACACTCGTGAAAGCAGCACGCACGTCGACCTTACGGAAAAAGGAAAACATGACTCGAAATTCGCAGTAATATAATCGAACATTTCTTGTTGTGGTTTCTTCAAGCCTTCACATTTTTGTTTTCCACAGTCCACTGCAAAAGTTATCACAACTATTTTCCTGGATAGAATGACTAGATTGTCGCAAACGATGACAGTTATCACAGTTTACAGCAGTGACAGTTGTGAATTGATATCGATATGGGTAACCTCACGGTCTCATATCACAAAACTAAAGTCACACGTTAGAGATGAATAAAAATACACGCACATCAATAATAATACAATAAGTACACACCAGTCGAAAACTAGCGGTCGAAAGGAGCTATAGGTAAGTTACATTTATCATTTTAAACATCTTTTTGTATGATTGTCGATTATCCATCCGATGGAGCTGACTTCAAATGATTGCCCTAAGCCCGCTGGGCGCTTAGAAGAGTCTTTAATTGTCCCACTGTTCTTCGGGTGTACCGGGCAGATGGTTTTGTATCCTCTCGATCTTGGATTTCTGAAAGAGGAGCAGACGATATCTGAGTTCAGGGTGCCAGAAGCAAGGCGATTTGAGTTCTCTAGGGTTCGTATTGTCATTCATAAGTGTTCTCAGAGACCTCTGTACACCGGTCCTCTTAGACCGGTGTACAGAGGTCTATGGTGTTCTTCATTATGTATTTGCTCTTACGTGCAACTGCAAACACATTTGCGCACTCTATAGACCCCATGTTATATCCGCCAGCGCCGCCAGGTGAATGGATATCACTGAAATGGATGAAAGGTGTGAACTGAAATCTTTGATCGATGTTCCTCAGCTATCAGCTCAGCTATCTACCGATATCTACTACATACGCCAAATTCTGATATGCCCTCCCCAAAAGAAGTACTTGTGTATGCGGGGTGCCCCATAATAGCCCCATACCATAACACAAAATCATGCTGGGCCTCATCGACTTGATGAGACATCATGCTGTAGCGACATCTATACAAGAACTACACTATGGCTCTAGACGAAGATGTCGCTAGTACCCCGGGATTCCAGGGCAGGGGAAGGACAGACTGAACCAGACATGCGCCTTTGATTATCAATTATAATGTATTGGCGCTCGATAAACAGGGTTCATCGATCACATACCATCGCTATATAGTGAGGCGCCTTGGCAGGGCCGGCCATCCAGCCGCTCAAATGGTCACCCGGACCCCAGACTAGGGTATGCTTATTGGCTTGCTTACGTCTCTGAGTCCTACTGCAACTGTCCCGTGTGTATGACCATTTATTGGAATCGGTAGGCTTGTTTTAAGGGGAAAAATCCAGGACGCCATTTTCATTTAGACGTTGCACCTTGCAATCTCTCGCCGGTCAGGGCTGACGCAGAAAGGTCACATTTAGTAATAATTTGTTAGGTCACACAAAGTTTAGCAAGGCATGAAGGCCGGAAGGGTTTGAGCGCAACGTTACCTTGTTCAGCATTAGATAGCTCAACACACTAGGCTCTGGAATGCCTACATGCATATTCATTATATGTGTGCTGGAAAGTGCGTCCTTTGGTAGCTTTTTTGGTTATGCCAGTCGATGGAAACGAGTGACGGTATTTTCTAACGAAAGTGCACTTTTTCTCGTTGTCTTTGCACCGCATAGGACTATTGAGTAAAATATATACAAATAGCATAAACATAAAAACGCATAATAATAATAATAAACGTACTTGATAAGCAAATAAAACAGACACATGAGTTATCGGTAAACAAATCTTTCGTACCGTTAATTTAGTATGTAATTGATCGTATAAGTAGCAAAACATTACCACAACATCGAAAAGAGCATTCAAAATAAAAAGTCACACCAAAATGAACAGCTTCTCTTTAGATGAGTAAGTACAGATAGGCATCCATGCGAGAAAACATCGTAGGGGAAAATTGGGTATAATCGGACGGGTAACTTCAAGCCATCGTAACATGAAGTTAGGTATCATTTTTATGTAACTGGGAGTCATTTAAATATATGTAGAAAGCCCAAAACTTTGTTTTTAGAAAGTCTGCTGAGGTTTCGGTGTTGCGTTGGAGCGCAGCGATTTTTTAAAGGGAAAAAAAGTTACTTGGGTATAATCGGACAGCAGCAGCAAATTACGGACGGGCGTTCAAATGGATCCCAAGAGTCTTGCTTGATATTGATATTGGTCCCCGAGTTATGCGTTGGCTTCTTGCTCTTTCGAACGCCACCTTCCGCGTGTCGCTCTGTGGCCCAGGAGCCGAGTTAGAAGAGGGGAAGGGGGGTTCAAACACCTCCCCCATAGGGTAATATCGGATGGGTGTCCGATAATAGCAAACACGTAGGCCGTTCAAAATGCGCCAAAATGGGAGCAACAAACACACTGAACACAGATAGTTGGCCCATTATAATCGATAACAAAAATGTTCAGGTAGGGTAGCCTGGGGCAAGACGCCCCAGATAATTTATTTTGCTACATAACTTTTGTCCCACATCACCTGGAAGACCAAAGTTGTGCTCAATGCGTTCTTTGGACATTTTACTTTAAATTCCACCCGTCAAATTCATTCACTTATGATCGAACTCCCAGCTAGGAAGTGATTTGTGAAGCAACTGCAAATGGGGCATTTTGCCCCAACCCCAGGGCAAAACGCCCCACGGCCTGGGGCAAGAAGCCCCATACTCTAGATAGATTAAACATGCTAGTTGACTAAATCTTATATGGGAGGCCCGTTAGACCTCTGGAGGCACGGCTCTGAAGTTAGCACCTTCCATCCTGTCAGGTGTTCAGCTATGACACTATTGTATGTACAGGTTTTTCACCTGGCTCATAAGGCCAAATGATAAATTATTGCAATGCAAATGTTAACAAAATACTTCCTTTGCCATTAATTTGCTGAGAAAAGCACATAAAATTGCATAGAAACTTACTGTTCGCCAGTTACCGAACATTAGGAAGTGGGTATTCGGAACAACACATGAGGTAAAACGCCCCATGGGGCTTTTTGCCCCGCGACCTACTGGGGCGGTTTACCCCATCACGTAGTTCGGTCAGAGAACAACGCCTTGCACTCCAGCAAGAGATAATTTAAAACGGACCAACCCATTATTATAAGCGTTAGACACTAGTTGTTCAAAATACATAAAAGTCGTTAACCTGATGTCGACAATAAAAGAACGCCATGATGCATAATCTGACTGCAACACATAAAAATCACTCCAAAAACAAATTTTTGGCTATATCTCCCTAAAGAGTTAACGCAATTTCTTTCCAGTTTGCTCATATAATGATCATATAGTGCACGTTTTATAGAAGAGAGGAGGTTTCCCCAGAACCTTGCCAGTTCCGAGAAACATCGGTGAGGCGTTTTACCTCGGCGGGGCGACTTGCCCCGGTCTACCCTAAGTGGAAAAGGTACAACTTGGCAGTTACAACTTCTTTACCTCTGCGATAACAGATAGTTAATAAGTTGTATGGATGGAAGGACAAATGGTGATTATCGTAAAAAAAGATATGACAGCCTAGCGGCAAACTGCCTGCGAGAGGAGGTGGTGACAAAGTAAATCCAGCGCTACCTTTTTTTCCAAATAAAATATTTACGTATGAACCTGGGGGAGAGCTCAGAAGATAACTGCCTGTCCGATATTACCTACTGGCCGATTTTACCCAACTTTCCCCTAAATAAATGAAACGATTAAACGTAGCATAAACGATTACAAATGTCTAACAGCTACTAGCATATGTCATTGTCTTCATTATCGTATTCTGACATATTCGGTAGGTCTGTTTGTGAACTAAGACAGCACCAGATTAAGACCCAAATAAGTTTGCGAAAGTAAGGAACACAGCGAGCTATTAGTTCTATTAGTCATTTTAAGAATGTCCCGCTATATCATCGTTTGAAGAAGCAGGGTGAGCTCCGCAATATTGTCTGCACCGTTTGCTCTAATACCGCAGCTACACCCACGTTCAAGAAGGTAATTTTAAACGGGCCTTACGATGCAACTCAGCCGTCACTTTGTGAGGAAACTGATTATTATGTGTCACTAGTTGTAGCAAATAGGACGATGTATGATTACCCAGCACTATTCTCAGGATCGTGGAATGGTAATAGCCTGCATTACAGACACGATAAGATAAGCGACAGGTCATATGTATGTAGTGGCCAAAATACTTCAAGAGGCCATCAATTATCCTTTAAAAATCATAACCGATAAACCCGTGAGTTGGATAAAGGGAATGGCAGTGTTTAGACCCGATAATATACACGTCAATCGCACATCGAAGCAGCACACATAGGCACCACGAACATTTATACTGAAGCCTAGCAGGGTACACAGCACGCTACGAACACTCGTTACGTACCAGCCATTACGTAGCTGGCGCCTCTTGCTGAAAGGCAGAGCAGTGCAGGTAAGCAAGAGAGATGAAACAGTAGATGAGGAGAGGGATTGAGAGAGGGCGAAGACTGGAATAGGGAAGCGCACATCGCTTTGTATGTGATTGTGCATTGTATTCAACGTGAATGGGTGAAGGGTAAGTACATTGAATGTATGTAACAGGCAAAACAAACTTCTGAAATTAAACGAAAAATTGAAACGAAGTTCTAGACTTAGCGCAATGACTGAATATGTATACTGTATAGGCATTGCGGGGTGCTGGCTCTGAGACAGGAACATACAGTTGAATTAGGGAGTGGACAGGTGACAAGCATAGATTTAAACATTTAGCATGCAGTCCACCGTCCAATGGTGGATAACACAATGGCGGATAATGGTGGTGGGTGTAAAGTGGAGTGAATCGCAATGCTGCGTCTCGCTTATGTACTGGTTGCAGTTACGGCGATTTATCGCTCCATGCGCTGGCAGGCAGCTTTAGGTTTAACAGGATGGGCATTGGACAATGGACATGTGCCGCATAGTTGCAGCTGCAAAATGCTTTGTTGCTAAAGATGGCAAGATGTTGCTCGGGTCGCATGACTGACAAAGGAAAATGTTTGCAGAGATAAATAATTACGTGAGAAAAAGTCAGACACTGCGGGGCCAATCAGTGACCTGTCCTGCCGTTAGTGCGCTGCTGTTGAAGGGGCGCACCCAGCCGCCGGTCGTCCACTCACCACGCTCTCTGGGACGGCCTGGGTGGCGTCCAGCTGCTCGCGGCTGGGCGTGTCGTAGCGGGCCGGCCGCGGCACACTGGCCCGCCGTTGCAGAGCGGCTGCCGAGTGGGCGCGCATCGTCTCGGCCAGATACCTGTCGGCGCGGCCCGCTCCGCTGCAGTAACCGGTCACCAGGCGGCCCCAAAGAGACCATCACCATGGTCATCAAACTGTGGCCATCAACCATCGGCTTTCACACCATCACACCATCGACCATCAGACCGGGGTCATCAGACGACCAGCACAGGGGTGCGCATGTTCAGAGGACCCTGGGATTGTCGGCCAGCTTTTCGCCATATTGCACTAGAGAGGCTAATAACCTATCTCGATGTAAGTGCCCGTTAATCTGGCGTTTCACTGATGAGCTTCACCGACTAGTCGCCTGGTCACAGCTATAGTTCCAGCCACCACTAGCCGGCCAGAGCCGATATAACCCGTCCAGAACCGCCCATGTGGCATTTCTGCTTACCGATCGGAATCGTCCATGCCACGTGAAGATCTGTACTTTTCCAGGGAGGCCGCTGTTCCGTCCATCACGTGCTCGAACTGGAACGACTTGTACGTGTTCTGCTGACTGCGGTCGGTCGGACTCTGCGGCAAAAATACACAAATGTCAGTGTGAAAACCGTGACACCATAAGAGTGACCTCGTATTTGCGTAACGTTAAAACAGCAGTACTCCAGAATAAGCACAGGTGGATATGTCAAAAAAATACACAAGTGTAATAGCCATGTATAGCATATAAATTATAAACCATAAGGTATATCACTTCTCGCTTTCTTTCCCTACTCTCTCTCTGTCTCTCCCTCTCTCTCTCTCCCTCCAAAATTCTCTCCCCCTCTCACCGTCATTGATCCGACCTTGGACCTCTTCTTGTTCTTGATGACCACCGCGGCGATGACGCCGATCACGCAGATGACCACGATGGCGGCGATGACGGCTCCGATGATGACGGCTGTGCGCGTGTTCCTCTCCTCCTTCACGGGGTCGGCCTGCACGTCGTCGAGTCCGTCTCGCGGGATCACCAGCCGGTTACCCTGGAGATCGGTGAGCTCCAGCTGGCCTGACTGCACCAGCTGGGTCAGCACCTGCAGCGGGTCCTGGGAGCGTGTGGCCGTGGCAGTGCGCTGGTTCACCGCGGATGTCTCGACGGTGAGATCCAGCAGGATGGAACCTGAGGGTGGGAACAAGGAAACGTGTTAATGTAGAACACTCAAGAGGCGGACGCCCGCAGTGCGGTTCAGAAGACACCATTGGAAACCCCTGAGTGAGGTATGAAGCATGACTCCTATTCCACGACACGTTTCTAGCCGTTTCTGATGTTCAACATAAGAGGTTCTCTCGCCGATTCTCACCCGGACGAGCGCTGATTGAGATGATGGACGATTCGCTGATGTTCATGCTCGCCGCGATCTGCGTTTTCATGTGGCTCTCGAACTGCTCCTTGTCGTCCCCAACCACAGCCTGGTAGTCGGCGTCGATCCTACGCGAAGCAAAAAAAAAAAAAAAAACGGTAAATTAGTGTCAGGAACATACATTGAAAGGCAGTACGCTACAAAATAGCAATACTTTATGACGTCACTGCCACTGAGTTAGATTGCAATGTACAGATCACGAAACGTCAAAAGGTCACTGGTCAAGGTAGCTGTATTGGGGTTGTGTAATGTGCAATGCGTTTGCTACTTTGTTTATTGAGCTCAATGGCCTATTTGACACACATAATTGCTAAAACGGACAAACAGCCCCTGCAATCAGGAAAACACCCTGGCTAGGTCAGGTCGACCCGCTCCAGGTTGGAGCGTGTCAACCACCGCTCCACCCACCGCAGAGTGATGTTGGTCAGCTGGGTGTTGCTGTCTGCCCTCTCGGTAGTCGTGGTGGCCCGCTGGGTCGTGGGTACAGTAGTGGTCGGCTCGGGCGCGTCCACCTCAAAGGCCGCCACGGCGCCCAGCCGGGTACACCTGCACCTCAGCTCGCCGCCAGTCACCCGGTCGGTCTGACAGGAGTCAGCGCTCCACTCCTCTTCCTGCCAGCTGCGACACTGCGTGTGCGGGACAGAGACAGAGGTCAGCAACGGCGTCCAGGGCAGAACATTGGTTCGGTACGGTTCTGGTGACCTGTGGTAGCCGTATCGCCACACTGCACCATCATCCATTCGGGTGAGTCTTGAGCATTCACATTCCTTTGTCATTTTTTTTTTTACTCGCTCTATATTCACAACATCCTATACAAAATCCCGCGGTCATGGAGGAACTATCCGTAGATCTACATCGGCATCCCTTCAGGTGTGTAAGTCCGAACATTGTTCCGATCTCACCTCGAGCGTCTTTCCCTCCGGCATCTCCATGGAGGCGTTGACCAGGGTGCTGATGGTGAAGGGTGATTTGAGAGTCTGTTCGGCGTACTGCGGCTCCAAGCTGACCGGGTGTAGTAGGCTCACACTGAACACCGGCGTCCTGCCAGAATGGTCAGAAAAAGACGTGTCACACAGTCAAAAAGCCGCAAAGAAGCAGAGCTTTCATTGCACGCCCCGCAGAAAAGAGATGCTATCAACAGCGCACCTTTACCTTTACTGAACCCGTTACCCCACTCTGGAAGTGAAATCTCTAGCCGCGCGCGCTCTCTCTCCCGGTCGCTGCTCGCACCCTGGATGGCCTGACCGTTGTTTCTTTAAACTTTGGACTGACCTGCGCGGGGTGGGGTCGATCTCCAGTCGGTCCGAACTGGCCGTCAGCAGGTCTTCCTCCGTGACCCAGGTGGTGACGCACATGTCGCGGCAGAGCACGGCCACCTGCAGCTCCGGGTCACCGCCGCACTCCCACGACCAGCCGGTCCACTGGGCGCTGGGCTGTAGCCACGTGCCGTTGGCGCTCTCCGAGTGCTCGACCAGCGGCCAGCGGGCAGTGCCGGCCGTGTCGAGCGCGCGCCGCGCCGCCTGCAGCTGCAGTCGGTAGCCGAGAACGGCCACTGGAGGGCTGTTGGTGGACGGCAGGCCGGCGCACAGTCCGGCTAGTGCCGCGCGAGCTGTCGTCAGCAGGGCGCCGGTGTTGGACGAGCCCTCGGCAGTGCTGAGTAGCCGCGCCGCCTGGTCGGAGAGGTGGGCGATCAGAGAGGACCGTCGACGCCGAAAAAAAACATCCTCATCAACTCGTGATAGAAGATGGCTATGGGGTGACACTCGGACATAATGTCACGGAAAGCACAGAACGATTGTGCAAAATCTGCGGCTTAATTGAGGGCACTCTATCGCCAAGTTACCTGGCTGGCGTCGAGTGGCTGGGTGCTCGAGGCGGAAGCGACTGCTCTCTTGGGCCGGCGCCGAGCACGACGAGATCTCAGGCTGGCCACTGGAAACGTACAGACAAAACGGTGGCGTTTGCATGTCCCGTCCAGTCCGTGACACAATTACATAGGCATGCACACATCAATAAATTTCCTATTCGAACTTGAGCTACATGATGTTTTTGATTGAGACGGGCAAGAAATCGGCGATGTCAACTCCATTTGATGTATTCTCTCACCTGGGAGCGGGACCGGTCCGCTGGCCGGGACGATCTGCTGCTGCGGCACCACCTGTAGCGTCTGCTCTATGAACGTCTGCGGTACTGAGGGCAGCAGGGCGGCGCCGACCAGCTGCTGCAGCGTGCTCCTGTGACCCGTCAGGTCAAACTGCGCCTGACCGGCCAGCACAGCCTCCAGCGGGCTGAGCAGCTCCAGGGCCGTGAGTGCCTGGTCCACCGCCCGCCTGACGGGCCCAAAGAGCAGCGAGCGTCACTGTTAGATCCAATAACGGTTTTAATTTTTAGGTACTCTAACTCACTTTGATTTTACTCTAACATTGTTTAAATTAACTTTTTTAAACAACAAATTAGTTGAATTTCACTCATTCAGCGAGGAATAATGACTATTAGCAAGCCTAAGCCCTTTTCAGAAAGGAATGATCAATAAAATAAGTTCACAATTAACGATGCTTGCATCTGACGAGACGGCACACCACTCACGTTTTCTGTTTGACGTTTTCACTGTTGGTCAGCTCTCGTAGCCTGCGGGAAACGGAGCCGTTTTATGCTCACAAAGTGCAACAACATACAGGTGTTCATTCCTAAAAACAGGAATATTTCTTCGATACATAAAAGATATTCCATAGCAAGTTGAACCGCGAATGCGTTCAAAATATTTGTGCTTATCAATAGAAGTTAGTTTTACTGTCGCCGGATGCAATCGCGTCCGTCAAAATGCTCACAATTAGAAGCGAAAGCGATTGTTTAGTGGCTCGGTGATTTGCTCACAGCCATAGTTTGCCTATTCCAGGGCCTTTGCCCACTGCTAAATGCCGTCACCCCGGGATGTTACGTCAGAGTCACCGTCTCACTTGGGGATTGCAGTCCCCAAGTGAGTGACTCTGACTCATGAGTCAGAGTCGCTGTCTCACCTGGATGCGATTTTGGAGAGCGCGCGGCGGGCTGTGAAGTGGACGATAGCTGTCAGATTTTCAGCGGCTGCGCTCTGCTCGGCCGGAAGTCTGTCCAGGATGGCCACCGACCAGCCCAGTACCTCCACGGGACGACCCAGCTCGTGAACCTCCACCTGGCGCTCGCTGAGGTCCCTGGGACAGGTCAGCAGATATTACCGAAGTAGCCACTACGCATCAGTCATTGGGTAGAGCTAGAGAGATGAAGCCATCATTGCGGTCACGCCGTTGACAAGCCCAACACCAGGGGCGTCGCCGACGGGGGGGTCGGGGGGGGGGGGGGGTCGTGACCCCCCACTCTTGAAAACTGGGGGTGTCGACCCCCCACTTTTTGCGACGCTGAGTATGCTTTTTTAGCTTTTATGTCAGTGAAGCAGGCGTCAGCAACACCAACAAATACATCAGATTCAGAATCGCTTCAAGAGCTCCCTAAAGCCAATTAGCCAATTACCTAAAGCTCAATTAGCTGTGGGCGGGGAACACCAGCACAACAATATTTTTAAGTAGCCACCATTCTAGTACCTTTTTATCCCTCAAAGGATTGGACGCGCCAAAACTGCCCCGAGCGTTCGTCTGATCGTTAAAAAAAATGGTCGCAGTCGATTCGTCGGATCAGTACCTAACTACAAAACTACAAACTAGCCTCAGCCCCATGGCTACCGTCACAACTAGCTGTACAGTGCACATGTAGGGGAAAGGGAGTCAGATGAAACCGTCTCGGGCTTTCGCAAAGAAGTCGCGCAAAAAGGAGCCGATTGCAAAGAAACTTCCGGTGCGCTCGAGTTAATCACCTACTTAAAAATAAATCGATATCTCTGATTCAAATAAAGATGACCTTGGTTCACTTTTTTATAACATGCTTTCAATTTAGGTATAGGATAGCTTTGGAGCTGATTTTGAATTCTTAGCACCCATCTGAACATTTAAGAAGTAGTTGTGTTGCTTAATAACATGTAAGGAAGCAATCGGTGGTGGTCATCCACTATTAGGTACTGGTCGATCTGACCTGACCTGATCTACCCCAAATGCATGGAGTCATCATCTTCGTTCAAATCAAAGATAACATTCGTAATCAGAACCTCGAAAAACCATCACAACTTACATTCGCAAAGTTCTAGCAGGTCCCGAGTTTCCCTACTTATTGGCGATGACCTGAGTCCTGAGATGACCCGAAACCTTGTAATTAGGTATCATCGGCTTTCTCTCGTCACGGGCAGCATGCTCTTTTTCCGCAAACCTCTAGATCGATCAGGGGTCGAAAGCATACCTCAGCGTTACTTCAGTATACGTTATACGTAGCGACTGGGAACCCACCAATAGAAGGGCTACAGTGAAGCAGAAAACATATTCGATAGCTCTTTCAACGCTCTTTCGCTAGCTTCGCGTCAGATTTCATCTCAGATCTATGTTTTGCCCATAGAAGGCAAACCTGGACAGATTCTGCCGAAACATTTGCTTTGCAATAACTTTAGATTCCGTGAATTTGTATGGTATTTACATATGTTGTCTTGTCACCATGTTTATCTCGTTGAGACGCGTCACATGAGTTAAAATTTGACCATTTAGAATTAACGTTAAAACGACCTCAGGTCAACGTTATGTCCTGATCGAAAAAGGACCTCCTGCTGCATATGAATGGATCCGTGTTGTTGAGCTGAACAGTGAACACCTTCCAGGTGCTGTCATCGCTCTACCGCGTCTTCGTCAAAAGTTGTAGAAAAAAAAGCTGGTGGCCATCGATGGACATTTCCACTAATGACCTTTCGAGTCATCACTCGCCATAAGTTGCACCCTGTCCCTGGCAATGATGAGCTGATTTGTCATGGCTCCAAAGATATTTTGCGTTTCTGACGAACTTTTTCAAAGCAGGAGACGTTCGTGCTTTTTCTAATGATGAGGTCACGTATTTGACCTGCCTCCAGATCATATATGTAAATCCTCAGAATCATGAATTGCTGACACATATAACCCCATACATTAGGTATACAGTGTACCAAATTTCGAAGTTATGGGAGAAAAGCTACAAGAATGGCGAGAGGGGAAAGTTTGATAGAGGTATACCGTATAACAGAACTTGACATGGCGACCTCCTGACCTTAAGTGACCAGTGATAATTTTTACACAAGTGATGTAGGTAGGTATACCTACCTAAAAGGTTATACCAAATTTCGCGGCGCTGCGCGCCGATTTGTTACACGCGCGCACACACACACACATCGCACGCACAAAACTGGGAAGTGTGGCAAAAAAAAAAAACGCCCCTATCCATCGGGTGAAGACTAGAAACCCGACCCCCCCACTCAAAAATCCGTGGCGACGCCCCTGCCCAACACTAAACAAATATGTTTGTACAGGTCCTGGTGACTAACTCGCGAACGGCAAATTCTGGAGTTTTGGGAGAACTTATATTGCGAAGCGAATAAAATAGAATATTTGATATACATTTTCTAGCATTTAATGGGCAAGGATACCGATCTGATAAAGCATATGGAATTGCGCTTTTGACTAACCTCATAGCAGCTTCGTCGCTGATGACACCCTGTTTCGGAGTGACGTCACTTTCCACGGTGAGGCACACGCCGTCGGCCGGACAGACACGAACGTACACCTGAGTGGCGCCTGGAAAAGAACGCGAAGCAACGTATTTTATAGCACTTCTAATAAACAACTAGCAATAACAGCACCTTAGATAAGCCGCCCTGATTAGGTACTATATACACCATCACGGCGCAGTGTGTAGTGCGTACAGATAGTGTTATAAATAGATCTGAGCAGAACTGAGTTTGAGTGGAACGGTCAAACGGTAATGCATTCTAACACGCAAAGCTGAGGGTGCCTTACACGGCGCCTTCTCTCACCTCTGGGCAACAGCAGTTCGGTCCGCGGCATGTCTGCTCCCACCGTGGTCGCCATGGGCACCCTCATGCCGTCAGAGGTGATAAAACCGAACTGGAAGGTGAGCTGCAGCGCGCCCGAGTCAGCAGACCAGCCTTCGGAGGCGTCCAGGGCCGTCATCAGGCCGTCGGCGGACGACACCTGCCGTGTGACGTCAGCAGAGGCGTGACGTCAGTGGAATAGTGCTGTCGTTGTACCGGTATTCGTATTGTAACATCGGGCAGTATTTCGGATCGCGAATACGCAGTTGGCAGTGTTGCAGATACATTTTATCTCCTAGTACCGCTCAATTAAAGGAAGGGTGCCACCTTCCGAAATTTTTGTTCTATGAATCTATTTTACTTATTTGAATTTTTAGACGTGGTTAGCGCGTCCACAATATACAAAAAACCGAAACATTGCATTTAATACATTGGCCAAAAAAAGATCGTTGTTTATATCACCACTACAACTCAAGGTCGTTTGATGTGGCAGCTAGGACGGCTGGCATATCCTGTTGTCATGGCAACATATCATTCTGCCATTTGCATTGATGGCGCAACTGAGACAAAAAGATGAACAAATAAAAAGGAAGAAGATAACATGATTTGAACTAAGTTGTAGTAAGTAAGTTGAACTAAGTAAGATACGTCAAAAGAACATCAAATAAGTCGAGTAAAGGTTTTTCCTTTACAATGCTTAAGAGATCTATGGAACCCTTCACCCTTCATGCAACTTACTAGAAAAACTTCCCAATTAAAATTTTAAAACTTAAGTGTATACCATAAAGAAAAAATATACCCTTTCAAAATGATAAAACATGCTTCAAAAGTATAACTTTTATACATACCTTTGCTGATTTCATGTTTTATAAAATACCCTTAACACGACGAGGAAATAGTGCTGAAGATTTTTGCCTGCCCGAATGCTGGCAGCAAAACTCGCAAATGATAACTTCACGTGCGGATTCAATGCTGACCGTCTCGAGCATAGGTAAGTGAAGCCGGTTTTTAGGTTCATGTGAGGCTAATCTTGTAAAAACTGCGTTGTGTCCAAAAGGTGGCACCCTTCCTTTAATGGCATTTGTATAATACATTCCTGATGGGTGAACTTTTAGTGTTATTTTGTATTTGTGTGTGATTCATGCACACGTGAGTGCCGTTATATTTCCATGCCTTATCACTATGCGGGATTCCGTCCCGAGATGCAGCGAAACTCGAACCTCTGCTTTTACAAAACCAGTCCGATCAATATGAATTACAAATAACGGTTCTCGCCTTGAGTTCGCCGAGTGAAGGGGCGCTCATTATGGTGAGGTCGACCTCTGCCGAGGCCACCAGGGAGTCGCTGGTCTCCATGTCAGCTCGGAGCACGAAACGGAGCACCTTCCCACATAGAGTGCCTGGAACACGGTCCGGTGATCAGTCGCTTCGGAACCAATATAGACGGAACTGATGTGGCGGGAGGGGGTGGGGGATATGCATCTTTTCGCATTGACGTTGACGCACATCCATCAGTTCTCGTGACCAGTATTTTGTAAAGCTTGCTCGTGGAGCTTGAAGTGTTTGCTCTTGGTAGACTGTCCCGCAGTACACGCTTGTATTGCGGTACAGCATATGGCATCAGTCAAGAGAAAGACAGACAAAAAACAACTACACGGCATGGGTATTGCAATTGTGTATCAATATAAGCCAAAGAAAAATATCTTCATTATGTATGGTCACTTTTCGGATTATTCTCTGGGATAATAATATCTAACTCACAAGTCCATATATTTCGGATGATATTGCTCACCCTTGGTCACTGGACAAAATAAAAACAATTACATGTATGAAAAACCACACACCAAAAATTATTCCCTAGACGGGTTACATTTTTTCAAAAATATATCACTTGCCAAAAAACTGACACGGTCTTTTAGCTTGTATGTTCCTCTACATAACAAGTAGTGCAACCAATCTTCTAAGTTCTACATATTCCTATGGATACCTACTACCTATACTTGTGTCTACAGAGATACATCGGACACAATAGATCAATTTGCACAACCGGGTGTATGTTTAGTTCCTATGGATGACATCTTATGCTCATGTCGACCTATTTCTAAGGGTGAAATCCCATATTGGACTAAGGCCAAATTTTCCTACATCTCGGTTCATGTATGGATCTTTTTCTTTTATTTCTATTGCTTCGCGCACGATTCTCTTTTTCCAGTTACTCTCACATGCCAAAGTTTTGCCTTCCATGGGGTGCATGTTTCTACCGCACCGCCTAGTGTGCCGAGCGGGTGCCGACTTTTGTACCCGCCCGTGCTCGATGTCTTTAGCATGCTCGTTGAGCCTGACATCTTTTGGGCGCCCTGTTTCTCCAATGTAAATTTCGCCACATTCACATTGCATTTCATATATCGTACCCTTTTGCTTGGCCTTGGGAATCCTATCTTTCACGTTAACTAGTGACTTTTTTAGAGCTTTTGACGAATGCCCTACAATTACGTTGTGAGCGCGTAGGAAGCGGGAGATGGGCTCGCTTACTCCTTTCACATAAGGCATGGAGACATAACGAGGGCGGTTCGCTGGTCGCGGACGGCTATTACATAACTAATTTCCTGGGAAAAATGACTTTAAAACAACAAAAATATCTTCTTCACATGATTCGAAACCAATGTATCGAGCGAAATATATGTTCTGGTAAATCTTTCCCCACCTCGCCTAATGAGTTCGTTTCGTATACTACCATCAGATTGTTTTCCTGATATCTTAGCGATTATCTGCTCCGTGGTTCGTATTCCAGTCTCAGACTCACAGCCATCCTCTCCGCCGGCTATCTCCAGGGCCGGCAGCACCAGGTCAAAGTGGCGCCTGCGGGCACCGGCGGGCACCAGGGTCGGGCGGAACGAGGCGCCCTCCAGAGCGGCCGGAGGTACCGGGAAGTCTGTCTCCCACTGAACTGTCACAGGCCAGTCGGTGGACACCTGGGAAAATAGGGGCAAAGGCAGGCCCGTGAATTACCAAACCGTCTATGGTGCCAGCATGACATTCGTCTATAACGCGGCCTGCTTTCATACTATTTTCTCATGCTTATCCTGAACATTCATACGCTTGGAAAGTTAGTGAGGAACTTTTTGAAACTTTAAATTGAAATATATCTCACTTTATTCAGAAAAAAGATTACATCGTTCATGCGTTCCCAATTCAGTATTTCCGCAACGCTTACCTGCGCCGATACGAAAATGTCTTGGAATGGATCAAACACGTCGGTCTGCCTGTCAATCCACAGTTTAGGCGTCGGCAACGCGTTGACGTACACCTCCGTGTGGGCAGTGTCGACATCACCGTCTTTCTCCACCCTCAGTGTCAGCAGGTAGCGTCTGCGGAATGAAAGTCGCTCGGTCAGGTCACCAAATTTACTGTGCCATTTTCAGGTACCCGCATTAATTATGCCATTTTATCGCATACCTACATCTACTTGATAGGCCCTAAATGGATAGATAGATAGATTCGATAAGTACACAGTTTGTAGATAAGCCCTACTACAAACTGAGCAAAGTTTGTCCAACACCATACAAAAGTGCACATTTTCATTCAGTATGGCATACAAATAAGCATGCAAACATTTGCAATTCACTTAAGATATTACATTTCAAATTGATTCGATTGCTGCGCTTCAGCTCTCAACGATTGGTATGCTGTACCGCAGTACACGCATGTATTGCGGTACAGTCTACCAGCACACAGTCATGAGTCAGAGATGGCTGTCGGGCGTTGGCCCTCTCTTCGGTTCTGCGATCTATAGGGTTGTGAATGCAATCACAAGGACCAGAATCCAAGATCACTGATTCTCAAAAGGCCGACTCACTGTTCTGGTGCGAGCAGCCCGGCCGGCACGCGCAGCGTGGGTCCGCTGAGGGCGCTGTCGCCGAGCCGCTGCTCCAGCCGCTGCAGCGGCGGCTCCCACGGGTCGCCGACGAAGCAGCCGGCGCCGCTCTCCGCCAGCCGGCAGCTCCAGCTGTAGCTGAGCTTCCCCGGCCTGCCGGCCAGGTCCTCTGACCGGCTGCCGTCCAGGTAAATGGGCTGCTCCGGCTGGACGGCGCGCCGCTCGGCCGGCAGACGGGCACGAACGCCGCTGGTGGCCGGCCTCAGACGGAGAGACTCCTGTCGGGGCAGACACGGTCAAAACAGTCAGCAGTGGCCCTTGTTGACTGGTCTGATCTGATCAGTGATTTATAGCGACATTTGATGACGCGACTACGAGTACAGACCGGTCAAATAAGTCCAGTCATTGAACAACTTCGAGAAAAAAAAACTGAAGGTGCATATTAGAAACTAATCAAAATCGATGAGCCCCCAATGGATTAAAGTCGCGAGCGTGGAAACGAAAAATTATATCGTAGTTTGTAATACAACCTACCTGTTTCTTGCACCATCTATACAATTTTGCATGCACCGGCTTTGTTAATAATATGGTCTCGGATGAGGTGAAGATACATCCACTCGTGGAGCAGTGCACTAACCATGTAGACCTCGCTGGTGCCGAGCCGGCTGACCACACATGTCAGCAGGTACTCTGACTGCCACACCAGCTCCGAGGTGTCCACACGAACGGTGCGGCTGTTCAAACCGTCCATGTGTGAGGGCGATACCCCCGGCAGGCGCCATGAGTACTACGGGAAGGGAGAGAAAAGAGGTTAACCGTTATCAAATGCAGCATTTAGAGTGATCTTCAAAAATGAACGAATACACTGGTAGTTCCGCGAAAATTCATTGGCAACCGTTCTCCGCTGCAACCCAAATGGATGAACATTTGCTCTTAACAGTCACCATCTACCCGACAGTGTTCGGCGCGTCCCCGGCTCACCGTCAGACTGTCAGCGGTGCCGTCCTGCTCAGAGTCGCAGCTGGTGGCCGTCACGTGGTAGGTATAGAGACTCGAGCGACCAATCCTCTGCGGACCGGTCACCGACACGGACAGGCCCGAGGACGAGACGCGGAACGGACGCGACTCGATCTGGGACGCTCCCGTCCACGCCTGCGCCTTGACGAACACCTCGTAGTTGAATGATCCCGGCACCAGCTGTAGAAAGAACGCGAGGAACGGATATATTGTGTGAGTGCTTCTGACGGGCGATCGGAGAATGGCATAAGGTGATGTAGAAATGGGGATTATGCTGACAGTGCTAACACAGCTGATGCTGCTGAATGCTGGTGGTGTTGAAAGCTGATGATGTGTCATTGCTGTCGCTACTAACTTTACTGAAATGCTAACGTTGCTGATACTGGCGACAAGTGACACCACTCACACAGGTCACACTGCTCAGAGCTCACACTGCTGACAGTACGCTACACCACCGAGACCACTGCGGGCACCACTCACCGCTGAAGAGTCGATGGTGTACGAGGACACTGTATCCGTACTCTCTGTGTCCTCAGTGGCGATGGCGGCATTAATTCCCTGCCAGATGGTCAGCGTGTCCGACTGGCGCAGGGTCGTCTCCCTCTCCAAGGAGATGTTCCAGCTGTAGGAGAGTGGCCGGCCCAGGTCCTGTTCGGGGACTGCGCGGAACGCGGCCCGCCACCCGGCCGAGGCGCACACCACCGACGGGCCCAGCAGCGAGACGCGCGGCGACTCCTGAGGGGTAGGGGGGAGGGTGTCAGAGGTCTGCAGCGTGCCTGCGTGATTGGAGGCTATGTAGCACTACGAAATGGGCATCAGTGGTCCCACGACAAACCCTCTCTATGTGTGTCTCTGTCCGTAATATTATTCACTCTCGCTAGTCTCTGTCTCTGTCTCTGTCTCTGTCCCTGTCTCTGTCTGTTTCTGTCTCTGTCTCTGTCTCAGTCTCTTGTCTGTCTGTCTGTCTGTCTGTCTGTCTGTCTGTCTGTCTGTCTGTCTGTCTCTCTGTCTCTCTCCCTCTCTCCCTTTCTCCCTTTCTCTCTCTCCACTCACCGTCATCGCCTGTGTGAAGTTGACGGTCACAGATCCCGAAGCACGGCTGGCCAGTTCTCCCCCACCACTGCCCAGCTGAACGATATCACCACCCTCAGCCAGCGTCAGTTCCACGCTCCCGCTGACGGGCGCAGCCATCTTGGACCCAAGGCGAATCAACAGCTGATTACTTCGGACGGAACAGTCGCTTCCTTCTGAAACAGTGCAAGTGAAAAACGACTTACGACTTACGAGAGAGGTTGGATTGTACAAATATATCTGAGGTAATGATGTCAAAGGATAAGTTTATCGACGTCTGTTTCAGAAATCTGAATGCCTGGACTGAACAATAACATCATTTAGGGTATAGTCTGTACGTCGTGCAATTATGATTTTTTTTCTCAACTCTCCAACTCCAGGCTGGCACCTACCGGGTCCTCCAAGAGCCCGGAGTGCGGCGGGGGCCAGCAGCTGCTCACAGCCCTGTTCTGTCCACACCGGACCGTCGAAGGAGACGGTCACGTGCCGGTAGGGAGGGGCGAACTCGGCGCCTGTGATTTCCGGAGGCGCCGACCGCACGCGCAGAGACAGCGCCGCAGACTGACACTCGCTGTCACATCTGAAAACGGAGCCGTACAGTTTCTGAACGATACCGAGATGACGTGAATCTTATGGTCACGTAATTCTAATAATCATAAGACCAACTTATTTATTTAATACCTTTATCACGTAAATCACCCCTTGGTGTATTTTCTACCAGTCTGATTCCCTTGCATGGCTCAATAGCTGTTAAAATTGTAAGCGCCGGCTTTCCACTGCCACTGTGCGAGATGGGCGCCCACATAGGTGTAGGAACAGGGGAGGCCAAGATGGCCATGGCCCCCACACTTTTTGCCGAACTTTTTTGCCTATCTGTACCTACACCCTGATTACCAAAACTTGACGATTCTCCAGCTCATGCCCTTCGAATTTTGATGAAGATTTTCTTTGGTATCTTCAGCGTTATTAAGTGCAAATTCCCTTCTCTCAGTGATAGAAACCTTATAAGAAGCGAAGACTGGAAGCCCTGGTGGCAGCATTTCGTTGAATGCGAGACGAGGCGTAGGTATACAAGCACTGACAACACTAGGTACACTAGGTAGACAAGGTAGACAACACTGGCCAGGACCTCGACGGACCTGTTGTGTCGAGGACCTGTCGAGATACGTTGCATGATCCATAATTTGACCTTGGGCCAAGCTCATGCCCCGACCGAACAAGGTCATGCTTTGCTGTGTCTAAATAAATTTGTATTGTTGTCTGTTGGGCTGAACGCATTGCAGGTGCTTTCATCACTCTACCACGTCTCCGTCAAACGTTATTGTCAAAAGCCTTTGTTGACCTTTGGTGACCTGTCTGGTGAGCTCTAGCCTCTACAGGCTCCTGCACAGACTGGCAGGGGTCGTGCTGGTTACTGAGGGGCCACGCTGGTCAGTGGCCATACGTCGGTTTCTAAGAACTCCGTGTGGTCGATCTCCAAGGGCCCCACGCAGAGTTTAGAGGCCCAACGTCGGCCCCGTGGATCCTATCTCCGGTCTTAGATCCTTAAGGGCTCAAGATGGTCCCGAGTAAGGCTCACAATAGATCTGTGAGGCCCTAAAGTCGCCCTCAAAGAGCCGATGTCTATCACTTAGGGCCATGCGCTGGTTGAAGGCTGATACACTAAGTTTTAGGAGGTCCCAATTCGGGTTATGAGGGTCCTTGCTCTAGCCTCTGATGGCTCCCTGTCGTCCTCAGATGCCTCACTCCAACCTCTAAGGGCTCATGCTGGCCTCTGAAGGCCCCACACCGGCAGCGGAGGGACCCACGTTGGCCTCAGGGCCCCACAATGGCCTCGGGAGGCCCGCGCTTACCAAGGCCCCACGCTGGCTCTTGAGAGCCCTTGAGTCAACCTCTGGTGGGTCCACGCCACTCTCAGAGAACCCAGGGAACACCTAAAAGCATATGCTGGCGGCTGGCCTTTGAGGGTCTCATGCCGAACTCTAAAGGCTGAAACAGACTATTTCCGCGTTCAGGAAATCGCATGCGAGAGCCTATTCAAATACGTTATAATTCTTCCCGCATCAATCGCATCCGGGAGGTGCGTGCGATTGATGCGAGCGTGCTTCCATGTATTTGAATAGGCTCTCGCATGCGATTTCCTGACTGCGGAAAGAGCCTGTTTCAAGCATAAGGACCCACTCCGACCTCAGAGGACCCAAGCCTGCATAAGGGCTGAAAACGGCTGTCGAGGCCCTCGAGATGGCCTCTGATGGCCCATTTCATTCATTAATTCGTTGGCCTGAAAAGCTCGCAGCGATGCCTGTGGGATCCTGCCCCCCCCCCCACACACACACTTTCAAAAAGGTTCCTACACCTATGAGCGCCCGTACGTGACGTCACTGACCGGGCGGTCGGGCGGGCCGGGCGATCAGGAGGGCCGGCCGGGCGGTCGGGCTGGGCTGGGAGGTCGGGCTGGGCCGGGCGGTCGGGTCTGGTCGGGCGGTCGGGCCGGGCCGGGCGATCGGGCTGGGCTGGGCGGTCTGGCCGGGCCGGGCGATCGGACCGGGCAGTCGGGCGGGCCGGGCGGTCGGGCTGGGCCGGACGAGCCGGGTGGTCGGGCCGGGTGGTTGGGCGGGCCGGACTGTCGGGCCGGGCGGTCGTGCGGGCCGGGCGGCCGGCCGGGCCACCGGACGGTCGGATGGGCCGACGGGCCGGGCGGTCGGGAGGGTCGGGCGGTCGGGCTGGCCGGGGTGGCACTTGTGCGTTGACCGGCTGATGGCCGCGGGTGCGGCCGAGCCGACTGCTTCGGCGGCCGTGGGAAGGACGCCACTTGTTCCTGTGACGCCACCCCTTAGGTCCCGCCTCGACTGCCGACCCTTGCACTCGGGCCCTGTGCGTGACGGTGCAGCTCTGGTAACGGGCTAACGGGCGGGTTTGGCCTAGCTGTCGACGCAGTGCACCCCGGCGGCCGGCACTACACCAGACGGAGTCATCTGCGGATGACTCCATGGCACCCTAAGGTAACCTTCAAAATTAACCTAGCCCCCCGAGAATCCTATAATTTTGAACACACACGTATCTGGGCATATTTGAGTTCAAAATTCTGTCGTTATGGTTCCTCATTGTGTATCATTAAGCCTCGCAGCCGTACCTATAGTTTGCTCATTTCCACCGTTGTGCTCGCGGTGAATACAGCTTAGCCTCGTATCATACTGCATATGGAAGAGGGTCTCGATCGGCCTAGGGGCTAGGAGCATCCAATAGAGCTGATCCGATATCTGTTATGTAACGTAATTCGGCCAGCTTTCTAAAGCCCAGTATGTACAAGCACTGGCGCATCCAGAAAGGCGTTCTTTGACGCTGCTGGGGCATAGCCCAGAAAATGTTTTTCTCCGAATTCAAAACATTTATCGGATTTCGATTCCTTAGCATTGCTATGCAGTTCAAAACAAACTTAAGTTGTAAATAAAACTTGTTTAGTTTTCGTTTTATCCTCGAAAAACGCAATTGTTCGTCGGTTTTGAGCACTGCGGGGGGTCATTTGCCCCAAATGCCCCTGGATACGCCGGTGCTTACAAGCCAGAATATCTCAACAAAATGGTTTCATTCATTTTCTACGCAATACGCATCTCGTGACTGATGTGTATACTGTACCGCAATGCAATAATGTATTGCGGTACAGTCTACCAAGACACAGTCGCAGATACGGCTGGCGGCCCTCACTACTCCGGTCTATAAAGTCGTGATCACAGGAGGACTTATGGACCAACGGAACCAATACGTATTCATCAGTTCCTCGTACCTGTGTAAATACGTACCCTCTCTGCAGCTGCGCCTCCAGTCCGGCGCGGTCGTGGGCGACAATCACCCGGTACACTCCAGCGGACGGCAGGCGGGGCAGGAGAGCGGTCAGCGCGCCCGAGCCACCCTTGGCCACCAGTTTACCGATGCGCTTCAATGTCCTTTCGTCATCCACTGGGGTTGGCTGAGGTCGGGTGAGAGGGACGACGACCAGCGCCGGTCGAACGCCGTCCGGAGGCACCAGACCGAGCACCACGGGCGCGGTGGGTACCGGGTCAGAGGACAGCACCACCGCCACCTGAGGGAACGAGGAAGGACGCCATCAGACCAGACCCACCAGACACCAACGAATGCACTCACACCGGACAAATCGGACCAGCAGACACCATCCGACACCACCACACAAGCACACGTAAGTACATACAAACTATCAGCAGTAGACTTCCAAAGTTCCCGCCCGCTCGCCAGCAGAGTACCGTACAAGCCGTCGGCGCATCTCACCTTGTTTTCCGCATTGAACAGTGCCTCGGGTGTCTCCAAGTTACTGATTTGCAGCTCGCTGCTGTTCACAAGGCTGAATGTGTCGGCGGCAAGGTCTGTCCCGCAGCTGAACTGGTAGGTTTCAGGGGGCAGGTCAACCAGTTTAGCTCCTACCGAGGGCCGTTCGCGCAGCACGCCCTTCTCCGCCGTCACTGTCGAGGGCCCCTTGAACGTGATCACCTGAAATCGACACGAAAGGGGCGTCAGACAGTGGGCACGGTAGAGGTTTTTATTAGTACATTCATCGCAAATCGGCGATTTAGTAACTTCACTCGCTATTTAGTGAAGAGCCAAATGCTAGCGACGATTTATTTCGTATTTTGCATGAGCAAACGTTCAACGTTTTTTTGTAAAGGATAACCTACATGCTATCTGAGACACAAACGCTAGTCATTCGAAGCGCAAGATGATTGTTTGGTACTCTTTTTGAAAACAATACGAAATGCTAAAAATTAAAAACAATTGAATGGCAAGTCTTAATGATTGCGAGGGGTGTTACGCACAACACATATCCATGTCCAAATTGAGGCGGGGCTCAGGTTTGTGCGCCAGTTCTGCGTCAGTACCTGTCTGCGCTCTCCTGTCATTCCAGTCACGTGGCAGCTGACCAGCGTGGGGTCCCAGGCGGTCGTCTGGTTCCTCAGAGCCATCTGCACCGTCGGCATCGACACCCCGGGCTGGGCTAGGTCAACCACGGGCGGCGGCTTCCCAAACGGCCGACACGCTGAGGGGCAGCACATGCCGAGGTCACCGTCACACTTCTCCAGTGCGGACCATGGCCATAGATCATTGCTGAGCAGAGCAGCACATGCCGAGGTATTGTCACACTTCTCCAGTGCGAAAAATGATCATAGATCATTGTTCCAGCATCAATACAGTTACAGTCCATAATTTCAGCCATTGATAATGAAGAGAGCGCACGCACTACGCAATGCCTAAAATCACCCCTCATAAGGTTAGCCTAGGCTATAGGTGGACTCTGCACGCTGCCACTGACCGCTCCACTGATCACTGTCCGGGTGCCGGCACTCTCCGCAGTGGTCTCGCCGCCGGGGGCTGGTTACGGAGCCGTCACACAGCGGCTGTGGACAGCTCGAGCCGCTGTCGGCGGTCGGGTCCGCGACACACTGACCACACGCGTCCCGGCCGTACAGCGCCGGTCGGCCCGTGCTGCCCAGCACGCAGTGGCCGCACCTGCGCGGCAGCGGGTAGGTATGTGTGAATACGGGATAATTACAACTGAAGTCCGTACTTATTCAAAGCTAAAGGCGATTCCTCTAATGCTGACACACTCACATCTATTCAATTCCTACCCACTGTGAAATGTTAACTTGGCAACTACTCTTTTTTTGATCGGTAAATGTTTCCCCAACCTTGCGTCGGGGTTCTTGCATAAGACCATGCAATACCCCATCAAATCATCAGCTCTGTTACGAATTGCACGACGACCCCGGGCGGCCCGCCCTCTTACAGGTTGAAGTAGGCTCCGGATCCGGGCACGCCGTCACACGGCGGCACCCTGGCTGCCTCCGAGGGCACGCACAGCTCTGTGCCGTTAATGGTCACCAGGAGGTTCTCCGAGCACTGGTTGGCGCAGTCCCGCTCCGGCTGGATGCCCGTCGTCCCGCCCACGCACTTGGTGCAGTCCCTGTAGGCCGCTGGCGAGACAAACGGTGCATTAACCAGCCGCATTCAAACGACAAACACAGGTGGACCTCACAATGTAAAGTGTGTGCTCACCGAACCGTTATTTTGGCTTTGAAGGAACCTTGTGTTCAGTATGGCAGCATTGTCGTGAAATATCATAAATCATTACCTTGTGGAATCAACAGCCGTGGGTAAGATTCTTATTATACAGGTATAAACCAACATACAACTTTATTAGGTATCTTAGTGCCAAGTTTTGTCAAGTGACTCACATCCGTTGACCTGGCCGTCGCAAGTGATGCAGTTGCCGAGGCCTCCGCACACCCCACACGCGTCCAGCTGGGAGGCGTGCTCTTCACTGTAGACGGGGAGGCGGGTACAGTCGGAGCGCAGAACCAGCACGCGCAGCAGTGAGGCGCTGAGACTGGATGAGCCGCCGCAGTCCTGATGGGTAACGTGTAGACATTCAGCGAACAGTTCCACACAGTGGCACACAATCAGCTCACAGGGCAGTCTCGCACATTCCATAGACCTCTCTCATTCTCTTTTATTGAACTGTGACGCTCAGCTAATAGAGTTCAAAGCCAATTCCACGGCACATGACTTCAGCTCCTGTGATTCTTAGTGTTCACTGTTACAGATATTATGCTGCTGCTTTATGTGGGTTTTATTCAAAAGCAATGAAATAATATACTGATCCTCCGAAACCTGGTCCTCTAACCCCTGTCAGACTCTGCCGGCGTGAAATACCACTCAGCGCTGGCGGCGCTGGACTCACCGGCTGGCAGTCGGGCAGACTGATGTTGTTGGGCGCCGCTGTCTGGTCCCAGCCAGCCACCACCAGGACGGCCGCCTCGGCCGCCTCTGCCCGCGTCCACACCTGGCTGGCGTTGTTGGCCGTGAACCGGAGCCTGTCGTCGGGCGCTAGGTATTGGGGTGTTACCGTGGTCGGCGGGAGCTCGGCCGGCGCCGCGCCGCACGACGCCGAGCCCGTCAACCGCCGGCTGAGCGCAGCCATCTCTCCGTCGGTGGGCAGTTGACCGCAGTCGGACGCCGTCAGACCCACCGACACCGCGTCGGTCGGCAGCTCCAGGGCGCTCCAGCGGTCGGCGCCGGACGGGGCCCACTCCCAGCGACCGAGCGGCTCCCCGGCGGCCACCAGCACGGCGGCGCCCGTGGCCAGGCCGTCCGGATCCATGAAGGAGCCGGACACCAGCTCCGACACGGACACGGTCACCGACTCGGCGCCGAGGGGCACCAGCAGCGGATCCGGCGTCGGGCCCACGCGCAGCGGCGCGTCGTTGGCGGCCTCCACCTGTGGGCAGGCGTCAGAGAGTCGTGAAACACCACCCAGCCACAGGGATGGCACCAAAGTCACAGCACAAAACCTTTAAAACGACAGGGCTTGGTGCCGCGTGCTTAGATTGAATATCAACAATGGAACACATGAATCAGTTGGCTATGCATGACTGACCATGATGAATGTTTATAGCGATCGAGACCCAAGAGTAACAAGTAAGAGGACAAAAAGCAATTTATCGCGAAAACCGGTCATACGGCCATTGGCTAAGTTACGGTCTACATGCATTGATTCAAATTGGTGACCGGTATTATATGTGGACAGTTGGAGACTCAGCTGGTCAGCTCGCCAGCTGGACGTATAACCGTTTGAGTCAGTGCTGCACGTACCGTGACGGTCAGCTGCGCCAGGGTGGTGGCGGCGCCGAGGCTGACGCTGATGTCGAAGCCGACGACGCCCTGGAAGTCGGGCCGCGGCATGAAGGTGATCAGCGGCTGGTCGGCGGCCGAGGGATCCCGCGGCAGCTCCAGCGCCAGCGGCTGCTGCTCGAGGCTGTGTTCCGTCCAGCTGCCGATACCGGGACAAACAGCTCACAGTAACACCAGCGAGTTACATGTCGCTCCAAACATCACAGGTGATCACTAACTCAACTTAGAAGCTCAATATGAGCAGTTGATGAAATTGCATGAAATCTCGGCCGCTCAAAAGAGATCGCAACATTATGGGCTCGTCGTTTTATAGGCACAGTCTAACGATGCATGAAAAACGGGAATATTAAGAAAACATCACTACAAGTCTGGACCTTCCTTGCTCGTGTACCGAGGCACCCACTTGTCCTGGTCGCCGGCGGTCGACAGCAGCAGGGTGCCGGGCACCTCCGAGCGGCGCTGTGGTGGACGGGAGTAGGCGATGCGGACGGGCACGGTCGGCTGGAGCAGCGAGTCCAGCTGACGGTAACCCAGAGCCGTCCGGTCCAGGTCAGCCGCCGCCAGAGCCGACCTCAGCCGGCCTGAGCAGCGAGGGGAGATGCACGTCAGAAATCATGGAACACTTTTACACCGACTGAGTAAATGCTGAATGTCGTCAATCAAAGTCCCAAAAACTTCGAGCTGCGCGTAGCTAGTCGTTTAAGAAGACGAGAAAGAATGTTTCAGGAAAGAGGAACGTTCAGTCTCCAGCGTTATCTCTATATACGTTTACCGCCCCTGCAAGGTTTCAGAGGAACCAAAGGGCCACATATAACTGACCCATCTCGTCTTCAGTCGCCGGGTCGGTGATCTGTATGACGTCTGAGAGCCGCAGGGTGCTCGGCTGGTCCTCCTGGATGGTGAACTCGGTCTGGGTGATATTGACCAGCTTGGTGGACGGGAGGACGTACTGAACCACGGAGTAGCGCAGCACAGTGTCCCGGTCTGGAGATACACGTGGCAGTGAAGTGGGGAGCCTGGACCGCAAACTACCTCAGTACGTCTTTGTATGCGTATGTTAATCGGTAAAACGGCACTGGTCTCCTTCAGTCACGGACCCCGGTGCATACTTCGTCAACATCATTTGTCCCGATACAACTATTTGTCTTGTCATTGCATCACGTTATGTATCTTTAATCTTTGTAATGCTTGTTATCTTGAAATGATGTTGCATGTAATGAGCGGTGAAGCGATTATGTACAAAAAAAAAATAAAAAGTTAAAAACGTGTGATGCTATATTGGCTCAGATAAGTCCAATCCACGAAGGCCGGAGCAGCAGCTGTACCTACCAGCGTCCTGGGCGAGGCTGATGCGTCTGACTCCAAGCCCGCCGTCGAGCGACGGTCGGAATTTCACAAACTGGTTCAGCCGCAGTGTGGAGTCGGCGGTGACACTCTGAAAGAGTCCGTCAGCGGAGTCCGACACCCACCAGCCGGGGTCGGCGGCCTCCACTGTCATGGACGGTACCACCTGAGCGTCCAGCAGGGTCTGCGGCAGGGGCGGGAGGGGAGAGAGGTCACCGGAGGGCGGAGAGAGAGATAGTGAGAGAGAGAGAGAGAGAGAGAGAGAGAGAGAGAAAGAGAGAGAGAGAGAGAGAGACAGAGAGAGACGGAGAGAGAGAGAGAGAGAGAGAGAGAGAGAGAGAGAGAGAGAGAGAGAGAGAGAGGGAGGAGGGTCTGACGATGCAGGTGCAACTCACCTCGACGGCGGAAGAGTGGAGCAGCGAGGACAGAGCGGCTGCAGCTGGGGCCTCCTTTGAGTCCTGCAGCACGGCGGATGGCAGCGTCCACGCCAAACCGGTACCGGTCGCGTCTGCAGGTAACAGCAATGGCATCAGAATCACCCAACGTACTTACGCAACGCATTTTGATGCATAGGTACCTTACTGCTCACAACATAAGCTCTCCGTCCAGCCGCGATGCTGAGAGATTGTTTGAAGACGGAAATGTCGCAAAATGTAGCCTTATAATGTTAACGACGATCTTATTTCAGTTTCCGATCAGACTCACTCTTGCAGTCGCGGTACGAGACGCAGCCGGTCCTCCCGGCGCAGATCACGTGACTCGGTGGGCAGACTGTGCCGCAGGGCTCTGACGACGGCTGGCACTGGCCGGAGATGGCGCAAAATCTGCGGATCGGAACGGCGGTCGGCATGAAATTAGAGAACTACGAGACGAGTGGGAGGCATCGAAACGCTGCAGATTTGCAATGCCGACTTGACTATTCTTTAGAACCGACGCCGGCTTCATATGTTGTAGCACCGTTTTAGGCATAAAATTTGTATCGAGCATCGATAACATAATATGCTGAGTATCGACAACATGACTTGGACATAGGGATGCATAGAGATGAGTGGAAGCGTGGAAGGTTAAGTTGTCTAGCTGGCATTGGGTCGATTGCAGTTAGATGTATGTATGGTATGAGTACTAAGGAAACAAATCAAAACATGTAGCTCGATGGGAATGCAAATACTTATAGGCGTGTCAACATGCGTCGCTTTTGTGCGCTATGAGTTGCCGGTTGCGCCAGCATGCACACTTACATTTCCTCTTCCTCGCATTGTTGCTCTGGCTTCGGCGGGTCCTCGGGCTGAAACGTATTGACGAGTTAAGCTCTAGGTAGAAGCTCACGCACAGAACTTCAAATACCGGGTGATGTGTGTAATAATGGGAAACATATTTCAATGAAAGTGAAGCTTTTAATTGAGACATCAAAAATGATTTATTAGGAAGCCATGATGCGCTTGTAAATCATCATTGGAGGACGTTTATACCGGTCTAAAATCACGGCGTTTCGGCCAGCTGTTTTCCCAATTATAAGACATATAGCTATAATTTACGAAATAAAAGAATAGGCGATTGTAAAACTAACAGGGACAATTACTCACTTCAACCACGAACATGGATACATTTTGCCCTCAAACCTCCCCACTCTATAAATTTACCCATGCTCACATGTGGCGAGGCAGGAGCTTCGATTGCTTGCTGGCAACAAAACTTTCTTAGGCGAAACGACTGACGCAGTACCGGCATTACGTATGGTTGTGAAAACCAAAGCCTCAAAGAGACACAGGCGAGGATGGCTGGAGAAACAACTGCCCGAAACGCCGTGGGATAGGAAATGGCTATAGTAATGCATTCTTATCGCTTAGGCGGTCTGAGTTCACTATAATCGCCCTTGACCTACGAGGATCATTACATTTTGCAACGCTACACAAGTGCAATTCTTTAGTAGTGCATCATTCAGTGCAAGCTACTATCTATGCACGTGAACGTCTCCGCTAGGTACGATCCCAGTTCATTATAAAAAGGGAAATATGCGCTCAGTGAATTGTGGATCACATATCAATACGAGGCAAAAACGGACGATTTCATGTGATTCAAAAACAATTTAAGATCATAATCATCATCAGCCCTGAAAACGATCACAGCTAAGCAGCAGGCACATACGAACAAGCGACACCGAATGGCTCTCAAAAATTGCATGGCCGTGACCATGTGAGAGCATGCACTCCCTGCCACGTAAAGTGTCGTGAGATCCTGCAGAAATCGTCCCGATCCCATGCTGATGGTGTTGAGAGGACTGAGGCGGGCGCGCTCGTCCCTCCGCGGCTGTGCGAGGAGCCCTCAAACTCCAGATGGGGTCGTTCAGCTCCCAAAAACGGCTGTGTGTCGATCGTGACAGGGCTGGCAGGTGGATACACCGAGAGACTGAACGTTACCTGTTCACTGGATGCAGAAGTCGGTGATGTTGTCTTCGTGCTGGATTCGGTGGAGGAAGTGGGACCTGGACTACTCACAGAGGATAGAGATGAAAGGTCAGGCTGAGTGACAGTGGTGAAGTCAAGGCTTACGTCAACCGTGACTGCGTCCATTGGTTCAGCTACTGTAACGGCTATTTCAGTCGTGGAATCTTCCGAAGTCGTAGTTTGGGAAGGGCTTGGTTCAACTGTACGACTATCTGTCGTCTTGCTGTCGGTTATTGCAATGTCAGTACCAACCGGTTTGGAGGATTCGGTCTGAGCGACATCCGTTGTTGGATTCACAGGCTGAGTTGCTGCAGATGATGTGGTTACAGTCTGCGTCGCATCAGTCTCTGTCGCACTGGTCTCCGTCTGGGATGCATCAGTTGTCGAAGTCATTGCCTCATCCATGCTTGTAGTCTCAGGCTGCACCGAGACTGTTCCGTAAGTCAGAGTCTCTGTCGCTTCAGTCCCGGATGTCGCTGTCTGCGCTGAAACTGTCTCGGATGTCACTGTCTGCTCTGAAACAGTCTCGGATGTTACCGTCTTCGCTGAAACTGTCTCGGAAGCCGGAGTCTGATCTGTTATAGTCTCGGGTGTCCCAGTCTGTGGTGGGCCAGTTCCGAATGTAGCAGCCTGTGTGGTGGTAGCTTCAGATGTTGATATGCTTGCACCATCAGTGCTGTGTGTCGACATGAATACGGTTTCATCATCGAGAGGAACGTCGGTCGGGCTGGCTGGAGAATCGGTGGAGGGAGATGTCTGCCCATCCTCCGTGGTCTCTGAGGTCATAGGGATGAAATCGGTCTCTCCCACTGCAACAGTTGTGGCTTCAGCTTCGGTGACGACCTCCTCGGGGAAGGCTGGTAATGTGGATGTGGATGTTTCTCTGTTCGTGGCTGACTCAGCAGCACTGGTCACTGTGACATCGTCGACTGGTTGTCCAGTCGTTCCTGGACGCATAGTGGTGGTGTCGTTGCCGGCTACTTGGTTTCCTGGTTTTAAATTTGGTTGGGCCCCCTCGGTGACAGCTGAAGGTGTGAATCCAGCCTGGCTGTTAGCTGTTATGTCGACTCCTTCAAGAGCTGTACTGTTGATGGATGCTGCTGTTGACGACCCGATTTCGGTTACATCCATTGTTGAGGAAGGCGGAGAGGCCATTGTCGGTTCTTCTGGAAGAATCCCTTCCTCGCTTACATCGGCTGTTGAAAGCAATCCTTCGGTAGTTGTTCTGACCGTAGAAGACGAACCAGCATCAGTCGTTCGAACAGAACCGTCTTCAGTCGTACTGGACTCGGGTGAAGTCTGCAAAACATCGGTCACCGTCTCGGTTGGGACATACAGCTCACTTGCGGTGGTTACAGATACAGTGGTTGTAGTGTCAGAAGTTACCTGGCCAGTAGCCGGCGTCTCCGTTGAGACGGCTGGAGGAGTGGTGAAATTCGCCTCTCCACCAGCAGTGGTCGATGACTCGCTCTCATTGCCACCACTCGGACGTTGTGGACATCGCTCCTTCGCTAGGCAGCCCAGTGTGGAGAGACAGAAGGTCTGTCCGGTCGGACAGGAGCGTGTGGCCGGGGCGCAGCTGCCGATGGGCTTGCACTGGCCAGTCGACATGCAGAACTCGTGTCCTCGGCGACAGGAGCTCCCGGCCTGACGACGGCAGCGGCGACCGGGGGGATGACAGGAGCCCGTGCGCATACAGAAAGTGTGGCCGTCGCCGCACTTGATCCGTTCGCCGGTCGGCTGTTCCTCTGGTCGACAGAGATTTTGAGGTACGCAAGTGCCGTTGCAGAAGGTGAAACCTTGAGGACAGGCATTCTCTGAAGGCTGCTGACGGCATTTTTCGGCAGGCACACATCCGTTTTGTTCCATGCAGAAGACGTAGCCCTCCGGACAGGAGCTACCGTCGAGTTCTTCTCGCTGGCATGCTCCACTGGGCTCGCAGAGTCCACTCTTCTTGCAGAAGATGAGGCCATCCGCGCATATGGTTGTCGTGCAGCTTTCACGTTTTATGCATTTGTTCCAGCGGAAACAAAACACAAATCCTTCAGCGCATGAATGATTTCCAGGAGGGGAATCTTGACACTGAGCTGGAGAAACGCAGCGTCCAAATTTACTGCAGAAAACGAATCCCATAGTACAGTTGTTGTTTTGTTCGTTTTGGTCGCTATAGCAACGTCCTTCAGGAACACAGCTAGAGCTATTTTGACAGAAGAAAGTGCCAGCTGGGCAGGTGGCATTTTCAGGTGGTCTTGACTGACATTTTGTGGCACATCTTCCGATGAGAAGACAGAACACCGTTCCAGATGGACAGATGGGGTTGGCAGGACATTGACTGCCACGAACGCATCCTCCAGTGTTCATGCAGAAGGTCACGCCGGCAGCGCAGATCTCGGTGCCTGGGTCTGGTGGGCGACGGCACTGGTCGAGGAGCCTACAATCGCCGCTAGCCAGACAGAAGATCTGACCGGAAGGACAGCTCGCCTGCTGCTGGCACATTGAGGGCGGCAGGCAGGCGGCCATCCCCGGGCAGGGGACCGTGCCCGGTCGACAGGTAGGCGTCGGGCAGCCGGCCTCCGCGGGCTCGCACCGGCCGGTGGACACGCAGAAGGTCTGGGTTGGCGGACACGGGTGTCCTGAGGCCGGCGGCTGCGCCTACAGGGGCACACAGACGGCACTAGTGAGCGCCGGGAGGATGGTCCAGTTAGACGGAAAAGGCCGGTAAAGCACACGACATCACCTCTATAGAAGCCGCTGAAATTGACATATGTCTGAAAAAATGCATGCACTATTTTGTCTCGTCATCAGTGGGTACTTATTGACATTCGGCCTTTTTTTAACATTTTCGTCTTCATTTTTTTTATTTCTTTACGTCTTCTTCCCTGTTATTCATACTTTCATCAAATGAAGCTTTATTTCACAAGTCATCTCTCAGGCGTCCACCTGTCATAGAATAGGCACGGGTTCTTTCAACTGACTAAAATTGATTAGGAAATTTAAAGTTTTCCTTCCCTACAGATAGGTAAATAATTGGTATCATTTATTTTCTGCTTTAACCCTCCAGGCGGTGGGGGGGGGGCATTTTTTGCCCCCCCCCCCCTTTAGTTTTTTCGATATATCTCGAGAACCGCTGCGCCGATCGCCACCAAACTTTCAGTACCCTCCCGGGAGTAGCTAGCGCACATGGTGACCAAAAATTTTTCCAAAGGCTATGATAGGTTGGCCGCTAATGACGTCAGAGTGACATCATTTCTGCCATTTTCGACCCAAAAAAAAGTTTCGCAGGAAGAGCTGTCAGGCCTACAGCTTTAGAGATACAGAAAAATGTTTTGTACATAAAAGGTGTGGAATTAACCCTCGCCCGCACATGGGGGGGGGGGGTGGTTGCCACCCCCCCCCCCCCCCCCAGGTTGTCTTTCTGCTCTGCACTCAACATTTTTAGAGCTAGAAGGCTGATTTTTCGCATAGCTGCTCCTCTATCCTTTCTTGATGTCCACTGAAAATTTCAAGTTTCTGTGATTTTTGGTTTCGGAGATATGACCTTGTTTTTCAGGTCATGTCATGACCCAAATGGCCATTGGCCATTTGGGCCATTTGATGTTGAGATGTTGAGATGTTGAGTTGAGAAGATGTTGTGTTGGTGTTGTTTCGCAAGATGTTGAGAATTGGCCATTGGCCAATTCTCAACATCTTGCGTTTGCCATGGGCCTTGTGAGCTTTTGACACCCTGATTTCGGCCTTTTTTGGCAGTCTTACCTCCCACCTATCATGGAACATGTTGTTCGACGATGTACAGGGGTCAAGGTCAGGGTCAAGGTCAACCTAGGTCATCTAAGATAATTGCGTTTAGGCAAGCTGAATTTACTTTTTGTGAAGTTTTTTGACTGCATTTTTGGTAAAAGCTTCTCAGATCATGATTTCATGTAATATGGACCCAAAAACAATCGGTGCACACATCAGTATACACACAGACACACACAGACATACAAACACATATAATTGACCTTGACCTAACTTGACCTGAAATGACCTCAGCAGCAAAATTCTGGTCGGGTAGTGTGACAAAGAGGTTCTAGCTGGCTTGGCACCAGAAAACAGCATCGTCATCGGTATTTGATAAGCAGCGCACTTGATATCCAACGGTGACCCAAAACAGCAACATTTTTTAGTTTGACCTGACCTGGAAGGTCAATGACTGACCTGAGAAGGTAAAACTGGGTATCATTGGATTTGTCTCTTCCCAAAGAATCTTTTTGGTCTTTACCGCTAAGCTCTATCTCCAACAGGAACGAAATGGCGCGGGGGGGGGGTGGCAACCACCCCCTCCCATGTGCGTTCTAGGATGGGAAAATGGCATGTGCGGGCGAGGGTTAAGAGGGCTACAAAACTGTTATTTCGGTTTTTCGATTTTTTTGGATTTTGACCCCCAAAAATCGAAAAATAGATTTTTGAATATAATAGCCGAAAAATCCAAAAAGTTTTTTGAATTTCGAAAAAAATTGAATATATGTGATAGTCCCTACAACCTTCTATCTACATACCAAATTTGAGATCAATACCTCTTTTTTTGGCCAAGATATAGCGAAAAAACTGTTCAAAATTGATGACGTCAAATTTTCAAACTCAATTTTTAGCAATTCTAGACCTTGTAGCGCAAAACAAAGACCACCATTCGACTCCCCGTGACGAGCTGCATCGAATCAATACCCATTTTATGCAAAAATATCAACTTTGAAATTTGACCTTTTTTGACCTGACCCTGACCTGACCTCCACCAGAAAGTGACCTAAACCGTACCTGATGGTCTTATAACCAACACCATTGAATTGGAAATGAAAAACTGGCCATAAAACATGCATCGCACAACCTTAGTAAAGTTGGGTTCATGTGGTGACCCTTGGTGACCTTTGGTGACCTGACCTGTGACCTGACCTGGTATGACCAGTGACCTCTAATAGTAACATATGTACTAGACAGCTGACGCCTTATCGCTGATTTTCGACAAAATGCGTTTTACTCGGTGTTATAGCGCTTTCCCTAGAAGCCCCGTTAACGGTGAAACATTTTATCTTTGACCTGACCTGTGACGTCATCGGTGACCCCGAGGTCAATGAAATTTGGTTTCCTTGGACAAATTTGACAGGGCTATCGAACGCCGTTTGAATTTTCCGGATCCGTCCTGTAGTTTCGGAGATACGGGGGGGGGGGGAAATGCCCCCCCCCCCACCGCGCGGAAGGTGGCCGGGAGGCCCACCGCCTGCCGGGTTAAAACAAAATATTTTAGTTCGCAAGCTTAACCAATTTTGTCGTGTTTGCCTATTGAGAAACGGGTACAGTTTACGATGAGAGGCTTAACACGCGCAGTGGAAGGGGGGGGGGGGCGGATTTCGCCGACCCCTCCTGTTTTTCGCCAATAACTCGCGCCGCAAACACAATATTAATGTGACATTTTGGCTACCTGTCCAGAATTGAATTGCGGATCTTTTCGTGCAAAAAAATAAGAAAATCGGTTCACAACTTTTCTAGTAATGGCTGTGTAAAGTCAAACAACATCCTGCCGCCGCCGCGGCGCCGCGGCGCGGCGGCCGGCGTCAGCCGTTACGCGCCGCCTGAATTGTAGACTGTGCCGGGGCGGGACGGTTCCGTCTTTACATCGCGCTCCTTACCGCTGATTATATTCGATTGACATCAAAGTTTGTGAGAAGACTAAGAAATGTACAGGCAATCTTATGGTCAAAAAATTTTGAAAATCGGCCGGTAAATACTTGAGTTATGAGTGTGTAAACACAAAATTGTGATTGCCGCGTTTCCAGCGTCGGCCGATCCCGCTTCAGCCGGCGATATCTTAATCTTAGCCAGCTTTTAACTGCCATATTTATTGTTGGATCAACTAGAAATTCACCACACATGCTCAAAAATGTATGTTCTTTCGTATAGTGAAAGACCGGTAACTTTTTGAGTTATCGGCGTGTAAACGCAAAAAAGTCGCTCATATGGCAGATTTGACCACCGGATTTGACCACATTTGACCTCATTTGACCTTGAAGATATTGACCTAGGGTCATGAAATTCACACACAACAGAGTTCCCTAGGCCCCCCCCTACGCTCCAAATTTCGTCTTTCTAGCTCCAGTGGGAGCTGAGATCTTAGGGGGGGGGGGCGACATCCGCCCCCCCCCCCTTCCACTGGGCGTAGTACTCGCAACCCTTCCACTGCGCGTGTTAATGACCAGTCTCGCAGCCGAGGACTGAGGGCAGGGCTCAGTTTGCACCCACGCACAGGGACCGGCAAAACTCCGGTTTGTAGACAAATGTAGTGATGTAGGCTGAAGCTCCGTACGGAATAGTCATAGAGGAAAATGGAAATCATTTACTTTGATTATCGAGGATGTAACGTAAAAAACATTTACTTATATATTGAGAAATCCACGGCAATCAGCATTCACGGGCACACTTTTAGTATAGCAGCTAGAGCACACCAATCAGTTTATATTAAACGCATCTAACAAGTAGTCAAGCGATATGTTCAGCACTAAACATAGAATATCCGTGAGCTCATAACATATGCAGAGTTCTAAATCTGTTTATCTTTGGTTAAATTTGATTTGCACACCACAAAACCACGCCAAAGGGTGAGCTGACCTTCAATCTAGTATATAGGTTAGATACAGCGCCAGTCGTCTCACCTGAAAACACAGTGCACGGCTAGGGCCATCTCCTCACCTGTGTAAGCTGAAAGAGACGGCCGGCAGCCTCACCTGAGCGGGGCACGGAGTGGGCAGGCACCGCGCCGCTGTCATACAGTAGCTGGTGCCGCCGCTACAGCCGAATGCTGCCTGAGGGGAGCACCCCTTTCCGGTCGGCTCGCAGTGGCCCGAGCTCATACAGAACACGGTGCCCGGGCCGCACATCGTCCTGCACGGAGGAGCACACGGCCGTCGGATGGGACAGGGCTGAATGCGAAAAACAACGATGCTGGAATAGTGGTTTGCACTTGCAGTGAGGGAGTGGTCGCTCCCTCACTCGCTATCATGCAGTGAGGAAAATATGTGAGCTGAATTACATACATACTATTAAAAGTATCGCACGTATATTATCCTGCTATTCCAACGTTACATCCCATTCTCGGCTAATCGGCAAGATAGTTGTTACATCGGTCTTGCGAATGCTTTATTTTATTATATTCCGTCAAATGTCATAGCAAATTATTTCGTGTAGAACCACTAATGGTGACCATGCCGGTATAATGATAACCGTTTTGTCCCAAACCTATGCCGATGTATTGCTATGAATCTAACAACACAAAACAAACGGCAAAAGATACATAAGCGTGATTTATACTCCCCCTTCACTGAACTAAGTTGAGTCATTTGAAACTCACGAAATTCGATGAATCTTATGTTTCATGATAATGAAAAACTTATTGAGGCATCAACATGAGACATTTCGGATGGCGCCTTCCTTTTATCGCTAAACGTGATCGAATCTTCGCCTAACGTCACACTACCCTCCTATTTGACATGTAGCGGCTGGCGGGCTGCACCAATCAACAATGTGTCACGGGACACGGGCTATGGAATGTTGTTTTGACGACAACATGGGTCAATAAAACTAATAATCGCCATAGCTTAGCCCTGCTTGACCATGAATTGGGTGCGTGGTGTGCAGCCCATCCCTATTTGTCGTCCGTTCTCTTTACCCACCCGGGTTGTCGTCTGGTATCGTGGCAACGCGATAACAGTGCAGCCGCTTGTAAGGACCCATGGCCCACGTCGATACGGCACACGTCACGCTATTGTGACGTCACAGAGTCGCTCGATGCGTGAAGGTTATGTAGCCCACATTCCTGCACAGCGGACCTGACCGGTGTGTCCGGTCTATAACCACAAGTGTTGGTGGTCGTGCAACACAGTCTGTCTTGATTTCAAGTGGCTGAAGAAATATGATCCGTCTGTCCCTTTCTATCCATCTGTTGGTCTGTCCATCTTTCTGTCCGTTTGTCTATCTCTGGCACTACTCACTACACTCCTCTCGACCGGTCGGTGTAGCGCAAGGTGCGTTATATATCTGTCCGTCTCTCTCTTTGTCTCTCTGTCTGTCTGTCTGTCTGTCTGTCTGTCTGTCGATACTCACGAGTGTCCACTCGGCGGCCGGTCAGTAGCTGTCGAGGTGCGCTGTATGTGTCTGTATATCTGTCGGTACTCACGAGTCTCCGCTCGGCAGGTCGGTGGGTGTCAGGGTGCACTGGTCTGTCTTTGTGTCTGTCTGCCTGTCTGCCTGTCTGTCTATCTGTGTGTTTCCCGTTGTCGGTATTCACGAGTCTCCGCTCGGCTGGTTTCTCGGTGTGGTTTAGTGTGCACTGTCTATCTGTCAGTACCCGCCTATCTGCCTGTCTCTCGCTTTCGGTACTCACGAGTCTCCCCTGGGCCGGTCGCTGGGGCTAAGCATGCACCGGTCTGTCTGTCTGTCTGTCTGTCTGTCTGTCTGTCTGTGGGTACTCACGAGTCTCTGCGGGGCCGGTCGCTGGGGCTCAGCGTGCACCGGTCGGCCGGCACGCAGCTCCTCCGTGCCGCGCAGTACACCTCACCCCGCCGGGGGCAGTCGGTGCCGATGGAAGGCGCGCCCGGGCAGCCCTGGGGCGGCACACAGCGGCCCGCCGATAGACAGAACTGCAGACCGGGCTGGCAGACACCGGGGCTCGGGGGAGAGGTCTGACACTGCTCTCCGACGCCCACACAGCGCTGCTGAGACATGCAGTACGTCTCTCTGTCCGGAGGGGGGGGGGTGGACGTCAGAAACAGCTTACTTACACCGTAGCACAAATAAGTGACAGATTTGGGTCAATGACCACGGGCCGTCATTTAGGAACCATTGCACCAAATTATAAAATACAAGGCCTTAAATTTTACTATTGTAGTTATTACTGGAGCGGAAATGAAAAAGTACTTTGCAATAAAGAAGTTTCTCTATACGACAGCTCTGGTGCAGCCTGTTGGTTGTTATCGGCCGCGTTGATGGCTGACGCATCAACTGACAAGCTGTATACCATTTTAATATATGTTTGCAGTTGTTGTAAGCATTGGTTGTAGAACACTATATTATCGCACTTACAGATTGGAGCATGTTGGTGCTTCTGTAGAGCACTGCCCATCAGTAACGCAACGCTGAAGAGTTCCGCAATATATCTGCAAAGCATTAGCGATGTTCAATGCGCATGCATTTTCGAACAGAAACTTATTCAGTATACCGTCGCAGATAAAACTTATCTGATGAGCTTCAGCTGGGAACGTATTGTTTGGCTATTTTTTAAGTGTGTGGTGTGACGTGACCAAGATGTTGTAGAAAGCATGGCATGCATTGTTATTTGTGGGCTGTGGCATGCAGAGCAAATATAGCAGTAGGTATCCTTGCGGGAGTCTCCCAACGTTGGCACCAACGTTGACTGACGAAGTACCACCTAATGGCGCCAACCAGAAGGGGACCGGTGAGATGGCTACAACCAGCTACACGCGCGCACGGTTCCCACTTTTGTTTGATAGAGTGGTTGAGGTGAGAAAGTTATGGCTTTCTCAATGACTCAACTGAAGTCATCTGTCCCGCTATTGGTGAAACGTCTGTTAGGTGTTGGAGCGGCATATAAAAATGTCCGTTGAACGCTTACGGTTCCTGGTTGACACTTCACTACTTCCTGCGATTTGGCCACGCAGAAAGTCAGAGCCACAAGCAGCAGCCAAAGCGAAACATCTGAAAGCAGAGCATATAGTTAGCATATCAACATCTATTAACTGTTAACAGCATGCTGCATGCATATAAACGTTAGGTTTGTCAAAAGCTTCATGTTCGCTGCATCCTTGCCCTTATGCATTTCGTTCTGCATTCCTATGTTGATACATCACAGTTCAGTATCAAATATTAAAAAGATGTGTTCAGTGGTAACAGGGGCTAACGACCTTAGCCCTCGCCGGCACAGGCCATTTCGCGCCCTTCGACGGCACAAGGGGGTGGGGTTGGTACGAACCCCCCTCGCGTTTGGCCCCTGATCGAGCTGAGCTTCGCAGAAAAAAACGAGCGTGTTGCCCGTCACAAGAGGAAGCCGATGATACCCAATTTTAAGGTCCTAGGTCATCGGTTGACCTTCTAGGTCAGGTCAATGACCCAAAAGTCGAGAAAATGGGGACCTGTTAGAAAGTCGTAAAGTGTGGCTGCCATGGGGTTTTGTTCAAATCAGGGCTGCGGAGTCGGAGTCGGAGTCGGAGTCGGAGTCGGTCGGAGTCGACAGTTGTGACCGGAGTCGGAGTCGGAGTCGGAGTCGATTTTCGAAACCCGAGCCGGAGTCGGAGTCGGAGTCACCGAAAATCTGTCGACTCCGCAGCCCTGCTAGGTCTGAAGAGTCGGAGTCGGGAGTTGGAGTCGGTCGGAGTCGACAATTCTGCCCGGAGTCGGAGTCGGAGTCGGAGCTGGTTTTTGAAAGCCGGAGTCGGAGTCGGAGTCGGAGTCGCCGAAAATCCATCGACTCCGCAGCCCTGGTTCAAATGGTTGCTAAATTCGAATTCAGCTCAAAAAACTATCCTAGAAACATGTAAAACTCGGAAAAGTGAACTGAGGTCACCAAAGGTCAATGACCTGACCTGACCTTCAGGTGACCTTGACATCCACCCTAATGCATGGGAGCAGCATCAAGTCACATGTTTGAACGTTTGAAACCACGAAAAGCTTGCAAACGCGCGGCTAATGCGAGCCGACATACGCCGAATCGCGATTCCGGCCAAACGTGGTCTCGGAAAATAGGTCACAGGTCAAAGGTCATTTGGGTCAGGGTCGTGAAATTTTAAGGGTAGATGTAAAATTGATCAATGCGAGGGTACTGAAAGTTTCGTCGCGATCGGCGGCTTTTTACGCGAGTTATTCGCGAAGAACTTAAGGGGGGTTGCATCAACCCCCCCCCCCCCCCTGTGCCGTCGAGGGTTAAATGGCAGTGCGTGGTCAAACTACAGATTTCCCTCCGACGCGATGCAACGTAAATGTTTCGATAAATTATCTAACTGGTCATCAAAGAGCAATCATTTAAATCATTTAATGCGATCAATTTTTACCAAAAAGTTGGATTATCAAAGAGTGCCAAATTTCTATTCCGGTTTGTTTTTTTTTCTTAATAGCAGGTCTACAGCTAATGAGCTATAATTTAAGCTCTGCAATAGTCTTACAGATTTCATCGATTTATGGAACTGAGAGCAGTTTGAATTATGATTGTTTCGAGGCCAAGGTCATGCAAGATCAAACGTTAGCAAGGAGGGATGTTCTATGAATTCCCCTAAAATCAGCTTTAACTACCCCAGTGTATGGGCTCGTAGATACTATTAACCCGCGACCCGTTGGGGGGGGGGGGGGCAAAGGACCCCCTGTGGTTTTTCGCAGATAACTCAGAAACGACTGCGAATTTTGACTTGAAACTTTCAGTTCCTCTCCGGACATCAATTTTATGCACCTCCTGAAAAAAGTTAGGTCCCAGATCATCTCAGGTCACGAGATATAGAGGTCGAACTGAGGTCATGTTTGGCGATTTTTCGTCGATTCAACTTAGCGATTAAAAAATTGGACCGTAGGTATAAAAAAGCATGACGTCACTGTCACCGACGAAATGAACTGCCCTGTTGTTCTTCTCTTTCGTTTTTACATTTGACAGCCACGCGTGATCTATCGCAGTACTGGTCGTGCCCCGTGAGCCTGGACCAGCTCTTGTGTTAGTTTCTCGTCTCATGTTCTAATTGCCTACAATTTGTCACTCGCGCTATCGCTTCACACTTGTCGGCTGTTCGTGCTCGCCGCGCACCGTATCCTTTTACCGAACGTGCTGTGTGAGCCTTTTTCGGACTTTTCTCACCCGTTTCCAGTGTCGCTTTCTGAGTGCTTTTAGATGTACAACCTAATTGTTCTCTTTGTGCCCGCGGCGGCTCCTCGAGTCGCTGCGGGCAGTCTCCACTTGGACGCCACCGAGTACAGTCCTCGGTGGCGGTGCGCGGCTCCACCGGCGCCCCGATGTGCGCCGGTGTCAGTGAAGTGACGGAATCGTGCACCGCGCACGATTCCGACGGCACCCCCAGCGGGCTGCCAGAGTGAACGGCATCCCTAGCGGATTGCCGCAGTGAACAGGCACCCCCAGCGGGTTGCTACAGTGAACGGGCACCCCCAGTGACCATCGACAGTGCTAGTGTGTTTCCTGGTCTACCTGTCTACTCTGCGTTCTTCAATTTCACCCTCGTCTACCGTTCATCATCATCTATATTCCGGAATTCTTCAATATATTCTTCAAAATTCATCTACGTTTTTCCTCCGCTACAATAAATGTCCCGGCCTCCACCAGAGGCACGACAGGGTCGGCGACAGTCACAATATTTTCGGTATTTCTGCTTGAAATCGGTCAGAAGTAATATTTATGATACTTATCAACCTCTTCCTAACTGAATATGACCCTTTTCGTGAGTAAAGTCACTTCTACGTAAAAATAATTGTTTTCATTGTAAACCCGGTACAATTTGACCTTATTTCACCTTCTTGTGACGTCATAGGTCCAAGAAAAATGGTCAGGGAGGTTTCTTTGGTTGCATATATATGACATGTCTTCATAAAGACTCAAATATTAACAATTTAACATGCCTTCCCTTACGATTCACGAAAGTGTTTTCTGATTGGTCGAGGCTGACCTCTGTTGCGACGTCACATGTCATCATCCACTCAGCTGACTATCCACATGCTAGATCTATGATATACATCATATCCAGACTCATTTTGGAATCTTAAATTTCATTTTTATGACCGACTTCTCGTCATTGTAAATTGGACTGAATTGACCTTATTTGACCTCCTTGTGACGTCACAGGTCAAATATCAAGGCCATCGATGTTGTATCTTGTAATGTGCATCTCTATGAGCTCTTTCGAATGCCGTTTGAATTTTTCGATACGGCTATTGGTTCCGGAGATACGACGGGGGGCCCTTTGCCCCCCCCCCCCCAACACTCCCAAACAGGATGTGGCACCTGCCAGACCTCAACGGGGCGCGGGTTAATCTTTGTATCCTTGTAATCAGCAAAATGGATGTCATATTAAAGATCATCTTACCTATGATTACAACGTAAAGGCTTTATGACTTCTTCCGAACAAAACGAATAAATAGCATTTGACGCGACTCATAAACACAAACATTTTATCACGTTGGTAGTGTTTATGGCGGATAGTTACTCTTCTGGTAGTTCAGCCGTAAATAGAACTCGACATCTCGCTCACGGGTCATTTCAACCAGAGATGCTTAAATGGACGAAGGTATTTGTGCATTAAATATAAAACAAATTTAAACGGAGGCTAAAAAAGTTTTTTTTCAACGTCAATTTACTTGCTTGTGTAGGTATTTGTATGGTGTATGAAGTTAGTCAGATCTAGTTGCATATCCGCACTCATCTTTACGATTAGACATAAACACAAACCTGGGGGAGGTGCCTAAAGTGTTTATTTATCTTTGCCAGCGACTTGCAAGGGTCCCCGTTCGGCAGCCATTGTTTGGCAAGAGGATCCCGCTCCTTGACAGGCAACTTGTTTTTAGGGCGTATCTTTACGAAAACACTACCATTGATAACAACATCAATGACGAATACTGATCACTTGATCAGTATGCACTTACCGATCTCCAGAACGCGGGAGCCGGCCCGACGGCCTGGCGGCATGGCTGCGGCGGTCACTTCACTGCTGGCACCTTCAGTCCAATGTCCGGCCCGCTGGACAGGGTGTCGGCGACTCGTCACCTAGGCAACCGACCACCACAGTCCCCCCTCCCACCTCCCCCACCCACCACCGAATCAATCGGCCCGTGACCCGGCCCTGCACGGCCCGTGCATCGATGTGTCACCCCAGTCCTACCCCTCGCCGCTCCCCCAGCCCGCCGACAGGCATGCCAGTTTACACAACACACCTGTCGACTCCCTGGAAGCCACTGCTCACCCATGTGACGAGCTGTTGATGCCAGCGAACTCCCAACAGAACACCATAAACTGATTAACTCCCGACTTTAAGCCGTGTCGTGGAGGGAAGGTGATCCAGTTAATCACCCACGTCATTCATAATTCAACATCTTTAGTATGTTTCTCGAATTTCGCACATATCAAAGTTTCACATCTGCCTTGTTTATTTGGCCGAGGTCAGAACGTCTGGTTTCACAGTTTCGTTGCTACATTTCGTTTGGTATTGCTTTACTTCCGGAGCCTGCCTACTTAAAACTTAGCCATACAGCGAAAATCCACCGGGCTGTTGTGACTGGGCCTGCATCCGGGTAGGGCCAGGTTATAAAAAGCTACCGATCGTTCAGTCTCAGTGATGATAAATATTTGCATGAAAGTCTATTCCATATCAAGCTGGCGGTCGAAGCCAATTCGGCAATTCTCCTCTTCGTTCGATAATTTGCGTCTTTTAATATGAGTGCCATGAGTACAGAGGAATCCCGTCATTGCTTTAAGCAGGGCAGTTGTAAGCTTGGTATGAAACTGACTATAGGTGCTTACTTAAGACGACGTCTCAAGAAACCGAGGGCAAGAAGGTGATAAAAACGTACAATGTTAACATATTTGCATTAACAATACAAGCGAGATATGGCCAACAAGACGTTTGATTAATTCAATTACAATTACAAATAAAGGATTAACATCTGGAATGTTATGCAAAAATCAGTCAGTCGCTCCTGTAAACGCTGTCCAGCGACAACTCTACTTTTCGCCGATAGATGTCAGCACCAGTCGCGCCTGTCTGGGTAGTCTGTTCCGCAGTACTCCTGGCCCTTCCGGTGCAGTATCAACGGACGACAGGCCTACAGGGCCTCGCGGGAGTTCTGTTATAGCCTTGGGCTCGCGACAAGACGGCCAACTGGACTGTGTTATCGCTATACATTTATTTGATGAGTTTGATGGGATCGCGGGTGAGCGGGAAAAGCAGTGAGCGGCACGGGGTCTTCTCAGTGCTTACTGCTCACCAGTCAGCGGTTCCAGGCCCAGAGCTCCTAAGGTTGTATTCAGAATCCGCTCGTCTCGCACCTGACTTCAGGCAGACACGCCAAAGGAGAACTATGAGGTGCTCCACTGTTATGTGCTTTCGAAACATTGTTTGCTCATACGCTTTGATGACCCTACAGAAAACGACAGTGATAGCGTCAATGGGACAAGGAGCAGCGTGAAACAGGTTGTTTTGAATGTGTTTCGGCCTTATAAACTGTCATATAAGTGCCTCAATCATGCTGACCTCTTTGATCCGGCGCCCCGGTGCCTTATGAGACGGTAATTAACGAAACTGGGTCACGAGGACTATCGACAGCTATCGACTTACCCCAGTGGGGGGATGGGGGAGGGGGCTGATCGCAGGCAGGAGCTAAACGATAACGACGGCTATCAGAAGCGTGCAGACACTTAGCACTTAGCAGTAAGAACAAGTGATTGATCGCGCAGTGGCAGAGGGTCGCTAGCAAGAAGTAAAGAGGCATGAAGTTGACAGGATCCATAAGATATTCGTAATAAGCCTATACCAATTAAGATTGCCAATCCGGAATTACCATCGCACTTATGGGGGGCCGAACGGACCCCCCCCCCCCGATTTTTGCGAATGACCCTCGCAAAAGTGGTTGATCGCAACGGATTTGTTTTTTGTTACTTCGAGATGATTATTTTTACACCTACCCTGAAATTTCATGACCCTGACCTAAATGACCTTTGTTTTGTGAGCTGTTTCTCGAGAACATGTTTGGTCGGAATCGCGATTCGGCATAGGCATGTCAGCCAGCTCACATTATCCGTGCGTCACTAGCCTTTTTGTGAATATAACTGGCGTTATCTTTAGTTAATCTCGTAACGCTTCGGCATCGTATGCTCCATACTCATGTGTTTATCGGCCGGCCGTCTCTCTCTCCCTTATATCTCATTCACCTTCCAGGCGATCGTTAAGAGAGAGGACACGGTCGACGAGATAAGGAAATGAAGGCAAGTAAAACCAACGCAGATGGTTGGAGGGGTGGGTGGAGGAAACGTGCTCAGCAGCGACCGAGCTGCTGGTCCGCTTCACTCGCCCGGGCCGCGTTGAGTGGACCTCAGCCGTCCCGCTCACGGCCGGCTCGCTGATGACGTCACGACCCCTCCGGCGAGTTCAGGTCGGGTCATCGCTCGACGGTGCCGGCCGGAGTGGCTCTAGTGGCCAACCGCGGATACGCGTTTGAGCAAGGATGCGACGTTACCATTAACTGGCATGTAAACGTTGAAGCGTGTGAAATGACGTTTGAACATGTATTATGGCGGATGCCAAGGTCACGTGAAGGTCAGGTCAATGCCATTGGACCTCGGTCCGATTTTTTGAGTCTTACATGCTTACAGTGTTCTTAACCCTCGCCGGCACAGGGGGGGGGGGGGGGTTGATGCAACCGCCCCTAAGGTTTTTCGCAAATAACTCGCGTAAAAAGCGGCCGATCGCGACGAAACTTTCAGTACCCTCGCATTGATCAATTTTACACCTACCCTGAAAATTTCATGACCCTGACCCAAATGACCTTTGACCTGTGACCTCTTTTCCGAGACCATGTTTGGCCGGAATCGCGATTCGGCGTATGTCGGCTCGCATTAGCCGCGCGTTTGCAAGCTTTTCGTGGTTTCAAACCTTCAAACATGTGATTTGATGTTGCTCCCATACATTAGGGTGGGTGTAAAGGTCACCTGAATGTCAGGTCAGGTCATTGACCTTTGGTGACCTCGGGTGACCTCGGTTCACTTTTTCGAGTTTTACATGTTTCTAGGCTAGTTTTTGGAGCTGAATTCGAATTTAGCAACCATTTGAACATTTACGAAGTAGTTTTGGTGCCTTCGTAACATGCTACGAAGCTGTCAGAGGCGGTTGACACGAATTACGAATACCCGTCACAACCCCTACCGGTTGACCTGACCTGACCTGACCCGACCTGGTCTAAATGCTTAAAGACATCATCTCTGATGAAAACTAACACGATATTCGTGATCAGCACCCCGGAAAACCACCTAGCAGCCACACTTTACGACTTTCTAACAGGTCCCGATTTTCCCGGTTTTCGGGTCATTGACCTGACCTGGAAGGTCACCCGATGACCTAGGACCTTAAAATTGGGTATCATCGGCTTCGTCTCGTGACGGGCAACACGCTCGTTTTTTCCGCGAAGCTCTAGCTCGATCAGGGGCCAAACGCGAGGGGGGGTCGTACCCCCCCCCCCCCTTGTGCCGTCGAAGGACGCAAAATGGCCTGTGCCGGCGAGGGTTAAAATGATTTCGAGTTTAGCACCCATTTGAGCATCCCTAAAACAAAAAGAGACGATCTTAGCATACCAGAGCTCCATGAACATGGAGGAAGTCTCCATGTTCATTGGTGGTTAGTATGAATCGTATTTTTGCTCAAAGCCAACATCACACGCAATGTATGATTCGATTCGATAGCTGTGAGTTTCCTTCCTGGCGGCTGGCAGAAGACAAGGCAGAACGAAGCTATCCAAGGCGGTTGGTGGGACAACCAATAGTGTCTGGTACAACCGTGAGGTGGCTCTGTCGTTCTGCAACGGAGGGTGGGCAAAGCAGCTCAGAAATGACTATGAGCCTGCCGTGGGAATGGGGCCGGACCAATATACGCTGCGCAGCGGTTGTTTCTCATCTTCTTCCACCACGGTGTCGAAACGGTTTACGGTTAGGTACGAATGTCTTTTCTTTCAATGCAGAGGTGAGATGGAAATCTCCATGACCTCGCCATGTGCCCTTGAGGTCGAGTGATGTCATCAAAAAGTTCAATTCAACTACCCGCACCTATAGATCGCGCAATCCCATCACTTCGTATATACTAGAATGCTTTTTCCATCAGTTTTGTAGTCCACATATAAATTTGTAATTACTCTGATCATAAATATTGTTTGAGGTTTCGGGTGAGTAGCAAAAAGCTACAAATATTGAATGTTCCCATATGGCAGGTTCTATCAAAGATGATGCTGGTTCATATGATACACGTTTGCGCATTATATGATTTTACAGATTACAGTTTCAATGAACAGGGGACGCGTTGAAAAATATTTGGCTGTAGGACTGTAGGTATTTTGGATATAGTTAAATACCAGCAATACCTACATTACAGTTTAGAGGTGTCACCTGATTTCGATGTCACTTTTGACAGACGGCCGCCCTCCATCACAGATGTCAAGAACGGGGTCACTAGGTGACAGAATGACAGGGCCAGATAAAAAGGTCAGGAACCGTCACTGAGGAGAGTCAATCATGAGATGCAAGAGCAAAGCCCGGGCTAGAAGCTTGTGTCCCGTCTTGTGCAAAATCATTTACCCGACATAATTTATTATATGTTGCAGGGCAAGGAGATATCCTTGAACGATCTAGTGGGCCAATGCTAATGAATCTGAGTAATTTTGTTGAAATGACCGTGAATTGTGATTGACATCATTATGCATCGACGTCACAAAGGCTCATATGGAGCGTAAACACGCTAAATTACATTCTTTAAACGAGAGTTAAAGGGTAATGTAATCAGGACGAGGGATTGTTAATGTGATGCCCATTGTCTACATAGATGTAATGAAAAACAGCAGCATAGAAACAAGATCTAGATGTCTGCTCATCTCATTCCTCCTGGTGTAACATTTGTCCTGCGCCAGGCGCACTGCCGTCGTCCACGACA